TAACACGAGATGCTTGCCATGCTGAAAGACATCAAGAATGGAATTTAGGTGGCTCATGAAGGCAGCCCGCGCTACAAAATTCAACAAAGGGAGAGGGGGCTGAGGAAAAGCTGCTAAAGAATCTTGCTTTTATCCCTTCCAGCCAAAGAACACTTCAATTTTCTCGTGCCCTTGGGACCGTACTTGGAAAGGAGGTATGTGCTGGCCTGGGGCCAAAGAGAGGCCCAAGAAAAGGTTATTCTCCCACCCCCAAGAAGGAAGTGGGAGTCTAGCTGGCTCTATCAGCCAGAGAAGGAGCTGCCTCTCCATTGCTTCTTTCTTATCCCGCAGTTCTTTTCACATTTTGTTGTATGAACCCTGCCTTGTCTTTGTATAGTACTTTGAAAACACTAACTACATTATCAGTTAAATTAGCAACAACAATAACTAATAAAAAAACGCTTTGAGAGAATTTCACCTTACTTAGGGCAAGAAGCCCCCTACCCAAGCTAAGTCCAATCACAAAAAGCAGGTACGGGGGATCAACTGGTGACTCCCAAGTGATCTGCTAATAATCTGCAGCAATAAAATAACCTCTTTTGTGCCCTAAGTTATACTAATGAATTAAAGAACTCATTAAGCTGTGTTTGGGGGAGTGGAGTGGATTCAATGTGTGCAGAAAAGCAGACATAGGGTCCTTTGAGTTCAACTCTTCAAATATCTAGGCCAGTGTTTTAAGTAAGTTTTATTACTTAAATGTAGCAGTTGTGTGTGTGCCACTGCTGCCTTGAGTTTGTCATGTGTTACAACAGCAGTGCATATCTAATGCTTTCTTTGCACGGTGCTGAATCACAAGAAAAGATAGTCTTTTGTTTCCATCCACTGAACGGGAGGGGCCAATTGGGTGCTTTTCTCTAAACTACCGCTTGTTTTGTTTTTTTCTGTTTGCTCCCGAGCCTTAGAAATATTGGAGGAAAACGTTTTACCTCCTTTACCTCTTATACTGCCTGCTTTATCTCCAAAATAATCCTTTGAGTAATATGGTTGTTAGCGTAGACTAAGATTGCCAGAAGAATGTTAGGCTGGCTAGCAATGTGAAACTATGTCCTGACAGTACAAGCCCGGTTATTCAACATATCTAAGATTAGAATTAGCACATTTACATTGTGTGTGTGTGTCTGGGGAGAGAAAGAGAAAGGAGGAGGAGGGGGGAAGGGGGGAGAGAGAGAGAGAAACTCATACTGCGCAGTACTGCATACTGCACGTTTAATTCTTTCCCCCAAAATGGTTACAATTATTTAGGCAGTTTTACAATCTCTCAAGCCAGTTACAATATTTAATCTCTGTACTAACGTCATCTTTTCTGCTTCTGCTGTTCTCTTTGATTATTAAGTTCCATACTATATTTAATTACTGAAATGGACTTTTTATACCAGAATCTAGTCAATACTAAAGTTCAATACTAAATTGGCCCTAGGAATTCAAGAGGGTTGAATTTAAGACCGCATCTGGGAGTCTAACAACTCTAGGTTCTGCCCCCTCACCCAGCTATCTCTGCCTGCTCTTCTCCTATATCTACTTTTTATGGAGTTTATAAGCCACCCAGAGTCTATATTAAATAGAATAAATTAGATAATTTTTAGAGGCCAAAGCCAAGGTTTAAGAAACAATGAATGCCCCTGGTTGACCTTACAACTGTTGAATTGAATACCAAAGCGTATTAATCCCAAACAATTTGACTAATTTGGCAATAGGCAGCACCAAGTATTATCACATAAGAGTGGCAATTGTTTTTTGTTTTCAAAATTGTTATCGTGCTGTCTGTTATCTAACTCTTTCAGCATACTGAGAAAATACCTAACAGAGTTCTATAATAGGCCATTCTTTCCTGTCCCTCTACTGCACAGTTTTCTGATTTTTTTTTTTTAAAAAAGGCTGTGGGTGTGAATGAAAATATTATATTCGCTTGAGAATATGGGGGCTACTAATCCAAAACTGAAATCCTGCATAATCTTACTTGGAATTAAATCCCACTGAATTTAGCACAACCTATTTTTGAATACACATAAATAGGATTTGGCTGAAAATACTACAGATAATCCAATATACAACTAATAGTGACTAAACACATGGGAGGGTGGATTTAAATGGACATAGGTTTGTAATTATGAAGCAATTTTTCTTTTTTTAAAAATGATATTTAATAGTCCAATTAATAAACTCTTAAAATAACATTAAAATAACTGTTAACAAATTAACATTTTCACACAAAACAAGGGTATTTGGTTATTAAAACCTCTTTATAATGATAATGATTATATAATGATAATGATTTATAATGATAGTGGGACGCAGTGGCTCAGTGGCTAAGATGCTGAGCTTGTCGATCGAAAGGTCGGCAGTTCAGCGGTTCGAATCCCTAGTGCCGCGTAACGGGGTGAGCTCCCATTACTTGTCACAGCTTCTGACAACCTAGCAGTTCGAAAGCAGGTAAAAAATGCAAGTAGAAAAATAGAGACCACCTTTGGTGGGAAGGTAAAAGCGCCTTCGGCATTTAGTCATGCCGGCCACATGACCACGGAGATGTCTTCGGACAGTGCTGGCTCTTCAGCTTTGAAATGGAGATGAGCACCGCCCCCTAGAGTTGGGAACGACTAGCACATATATGCAAGGGGAACCTTTACCTTTTATAATGATAAACATTTCCAGACCTACAACTTTCTACTCAATTTTCGATTATGTCATCCCGCTTCTTGCTCGCCCCACCAAATTGCACCCTAAAGGGGGCGGGTGGGGGCGGGTGGCTAAGCGAGGGGCAGGAGCCCTGTCATGCCTGGCGGGTGGAGTGGGGCACGTAGTTGGTGGTGGGGGCTTATTTTGCAGGGGTGGCTTATATTATCACATGTTCTAAAAAGCCCAATTGGCCTTATTTTCAGGACATGTCTTATTTTCGGGGAAACACGGTACTTTCCAAATTTCCCCATAGAAGCATGTCATGTGATCTATAGATTGGTGTTCTTAGATTTGAGGAGTCTGGGCTACATACAAGGAAAAGAAACAATTTACAAAAGTTTGAATGATGACTGTTGTGAAAACAATCCAAAATAATAATAATAATAATAATAATAATAATAATAATAATAATAATAATAATAATAATAAACATGGGACAATCAAAAAGGCAGACAATAAGGTTTTAAGGTTACACCTGCCAGATGAAGGACATGAAAACAAAGGGGAGCACACCTCCTCTTTTTCTCAGTCATCTGGTAACCTTAACCACAATTCTGATATTTTATTTGGAACTATAGGATGTGTAGTTCAATAAAAAATAATAAAGGTAGGCAAAAAAAGTAAAATACACTACGTAGTCTTGACTCATTTACCCCTTTGTCATAAGTTATTTATCGGGTTAATTTTTTTCAGCCCTGGACCCAACTTTGATACCTGCCTTATGCAACATCATCATCATCGCCACCACAAGCAACATGAGTTTGACTGGCTCCAATCCCAGGGGTGCTATTCAGCAGGTTTTAGTAGAAATTTTGAGTATTTATTTATTTATTGTCATATTTATATGCCGCCCTTCTCCCAAGGGACTCGAGGCGGCTCACAGAATAAAACAACCCAACAATAAAGTAGCTCGAGTAGTTCGAGAACCGGCAAATACCACCTCTGGCTGGCCCCAGAGTGGGATGGGAATGGAGATTTTGCAATATCCTTCCCCCAGGAGTGGGGTGGGAATGGAGATGAGATTTTGCAATATCCTTCCCCCAGGAGTGGGGTGGGAATGGAGATTTTGCAATATCCTTCCCCCAGGAGTGGGGGGGAATGGAGATTTTGCAATATCCTTCCCCCAGGAGTGGGGAGGGAATGGAGATTTTGCAAAATCCTTCCCCCAGGAGTGGGGAGGGAATGGAGATTTTGCAGTATCCTTCCCCCAGGAGTGGGGAGGGAATGGAGATTTTATAATATCCTTCCCCCAGGAGTGGGGAGGGAATGGAGATTTTGCAGTATCATTCCCCTGCCACGCCCACCAAGCCACACACCACGCCCACCAAGCCATGCCCACAGAACCGGTAGTAAAAAAAAAATGAATTCCACCACTGCTCCATCCCTATTAATTTTCCTGAAGTCCCTCAAAACTTGGTTCTTGTCTTGGAGTCCCCAAGGGATCTGTGACTTGCTGTGAGGTAGCTCCATTGCAGTTAACATGTGCTGCCAGTTTAATCTTTTAATTTTTTTAAAAAAATTAGTTAATACATTTTTTTAAAAAAAACCAATAAAGGCCTTTTATTCAATGTCATAATAAAATTTAACGTATTTCATTAAAAAAAATAATTTTAAGCCTTTTAATCCCAATTTTTAATCTTCTAAATCTCTTGGGGTTCCCTCCCCCCCCCCCCATATGACTGCTTTGCAGATTTTATAGTACGGCGCCCAGAACCACGCTTTTCCATTGAAAAAGATGAGTGAAATAAATAAACTTTATCTGGTGCTCGGACCCAAATTCGCAGCGCAAGGCAGAAAACCTCACAACATTTCAGGCCTTCTCCCCCCACCCCCACCCCCCGCAGAAGCCACCAAAGAACATCGATCACTCTGGGTCTTCTACGCAGCCTGGTAACCTAGGCAACCACAAACAGGCTTTTTTTTTCCCATCGAGAACTCCGGTACTCGATTACCAGGCCTTTCTCTTAATTCCTCTCACCATTCCCTCTCTGGTTTGGATAACGGTTTGAGGAAGGGGGGGGGTGGCTTTTACTCGGTAGATTCTGAACCGCCGGGCAAGCTATAGAACAAAGCTTTATTCGGAAGCGAACGTGGAGGGAAAAAAAAACCGTGAAATATATATATATTTAGTCAAATTTCTGGAATGACGCACCGCGCGAGCAACGGAACCCGGGGCGAGGCCACCGCGCACGCGCAGGAGGGATTCATCGGGCCCCGAGTCGAGTGAGGGGGGGAGAAAAAAAAAAAAGAGGGGGACGTTATTTTGATAGTGCGCACGCGCAGTCTCGGAGAAGAAAGCGCGGAGGAAGCACACACAGAAACACACACACCCACGGGCTAGCGGCGTCCCCTGCGCGCGCGCGCATGCGCCCCGGCGGCCTTGACCCGGGTGCCTTCCTCCTGCCCGCTTCTATGGAAGAAGCCCGTGGCCCGTTTGCTCCGCGGCCGCCGTCGGGGAAGGAGGCGAGAGGCGGAGCGCCAGGAAAATGCCGGGAAAGCTGAAGGTCAAGATCGTGGCGGGGCGGCACCTGCCTGTCATGGACCGAGCCAGTGACTTGACGGACGCCTTCGTGGAGGTCTGGGCGGGGAGGGGCTTTTCTGCACGCTCCGCAGCAGCAACGGGGAAAGCGGGGGGGGAGGAGCATGTCGTCACTCTCCCCCCGCGCCCCGTATTTGCATATTTTTGCATAACGCCCGCGAAACTTGTCCTACAGATGCTCGTGGTGCTGCCTTGTCCCCCCCGCAGCCTATTCGAGGCAAGGGAGCTCGAGCTTCGCCTCAGGCAGTTTTCCCTCCTTTTTTAGATGCCTCCAACGAGGTCGATCCCGAGCAGGGGTCTTTCCGGGTGGGGATCCATCCTTGAAATTGAGATCCTCAAATTGGTAGGTCGTGCTGGGTTTCCCCTCCAGCACGACCTGTTCCTTATGGTGATGATGATGATGATGGTGGTGGTGGGATCCATTAAGTCAGTGGTGAAATTCAATTTTTTTTTACTACCGGTTCTTTGGGCGTGGCAGGGGAAGGATACTGCAAAATCCCCATTCCCACCCCACTCGGGGGGCCAGCCAGAGGTGGCATTTGCTGGTTTATTTTTTTAATTTTGTTATTTATTAGTTTGATTTATATGCCGCCCTTCTCCGGAGACTCAGGGCGGCTTACAGTGCGTTAAGCAATAGCCTTCATACTTTTGTATATACTTGCTTAGTAGGGCTTTTTGCCCCCCCCCCAAAAGCGGTGTTCTATTTTATACAAAGTCAGCCTATTTCCCCCCAACAATTTGGGTCCTCATTTTACCTACCTCGGAAGGATGGAAGGCTGAGTCAACCTTGAGCCTGACGGGAATTGAACTCGCAGTAATTGCAGGTAGCTGGCAGCTAAATACTACTTTAACAGTAGTTTAGTCCACTGCACCACCAGGCACAACCACAGAGTGGTTCTCTGAACTACTCAACATTTCCGCTACCGGTTCCCCAGAACCTGCTGGATTTCACACCTGCATTAAATCCTATCTGACTTTTGGCAATACTATGGTCCAGGTCTCGCCACAATCTTTTGATCTGGCACTCCTCGATTTACGACCACAATTGATCCCAAAATTTCTCTTCTTTAAGTGAGACATTTGTTAAGAGAGTTTTGCCTCACTTTGCGACCTTTCTTGCCATGGTTGTTAAGTGAATCACTGCCGTTGGTAAGTTAGTACCCCGGTTGTTAAGTCAACCTGGCTTCTCCAGTGACTTTGCTCATTGGAATGTCGCAAAAGGGGATCCCATGACCTTGGGACACAGCAACGGTCATAAATACGAGTCAGTTGCCAAGCGCCTGAGTTTTGATCACATGATCATGGGCATGCTGCAAAGGTCATAACTGTGAAAAACCAGTCATAAAGTCACATTTCTCAGTGCCGTTGTGTTTTTGAACGGTCACTGAATGAACTGCTGTAAGTTGAGAACTACCTGCATTTCTCTGAGTTGGTTGAGTTGGTTCCATTCCCATATAATACTCTCAACTTCTCACAAATGACACAAAGATCCATTTCCCCCTAAAGCTAAAATCTAATAGCTAAAATCTCCAGGAATGCGACAAGTGAGATCTTATGAGATTTCATGACACTTGAAAAAAAAATCTTGTGATGAGACTTCCAGTACTTTCTAAGATTTGGCAATCATCTTTGGATAATTTTTGGAATATTTTCACAAGAAAATGTTGGGCGATTCTGGGGTTCTTTGAACTTTGAATGGTGTCCAGCGGCCCTGTTTCCTTTTACCGCTAACTTTCTCCAGTGAAATCCCTTGCGTGACATGGCCAAAATAAGTGAGACAGTTTTGTGATTTTGCTTTCCACCGACATGTCTGGTGTTATGAACTCCAGTACTTGCTTGATAGTCACCTTTGCTGTCCAAGGAAAACGTAGGAGCCTTCTTCAGCACCATAGCTCAAATAAGTCGATTTTCTTCCTTCTTGCTTTTTTTAAAGTCTAACTTTCACAACCATAGGTATCTACGGGGAAACACAATTAGAGCAGACTAACCTACATTTGGTTTCCAGGCTGATGTCCTTGCTTTTCCATATTCGTTTCTTATGGTAGAAGCTCCTTATATACTATCCCTTCGTTTTGTACCTTAATTCTGCAAATTACGTTGTTTACTATTGTAAGAGGTGGAACCTGGAGTGACAAATACAATACTGTAGGGTTGAGTGGCCTTGATTCAACCACCTGGAGCAATTTTTAGGATGTTTTAATCACCTTAAAAGCCACCTAGAATCAGAAGGTTACACAGCCGAGATAAATCATGTTATAGACGACTACCCTTAGCTAGTGGAGATAGACAGGTAGTCCTTGATTTACGACTATAGTTGGGACCAGAATTTCCATTGCTAAGGAAGGAGGTTGTTAAGTGACTTGTGCCAGATTTTTTTTTTTAGTTTTTTGCCGTGGTTGTTAAGTGAATCGTTAACTTTTCAAGCATTGCAAGGCTGTTAATTTCCATTTCAAATGGTCGATGTGTTAATAAAAGGAAAGAACCATGCAGTAATTTCAGTGATGCTTCTTATATGGAAGTTATTTTGATGCACATGTTACATAAGAAGCAGGAATTTTGAGAGGAATTATTATCTACTGTGCTGCTTTGGAAAAAAAAAAGGAAAATGCAATTCAGTGGTATGACTTGGGGGTAGCCAAAAAGCTGTACTCAGATGTCTGCATAGGTTATAATTGTATTTCCCTTCATTGGCTAGGAATCATGGGAATTGTAGTAGCAATACTTACGAAAAAAAGTAAAGGTTTTGGCAGGCGGATTTAAATTTGTTTTGGTTTTGGGGATTATGATACCTTTGAGATAGTGACCTGTGCCAGTAATAGAAATGTCTATTAAGAATTCACAGCCAGAGATAAATCAGAAAAAAATTCAAAAGATTAAAGAGTTTGTGACATTGCTGTAGGAAGTATTTGGTAGAGATTAAAGAATTGAGTTTCAGTAGTGACAAAATTTCTGGCATCAAGAATGTCACTAATATTTATTGATGTTGGGATGGAATGAAGTGAAGCAATTAACTTGGAAACTATTTAAAATATTTTGGGCTGTAGGGTTTTGTTTGGTTTAATTTTTGCACACCCTCGAGATTGGAGATACCTGGTGGGCAAGGTAAGGAAGAGGAAAGGTAGAAAAAAAAATTTTTTTTTATTAAATTTGTATACCGCCCTTCTCCTGCTGGACTCAGGGCGGTGCACAGCCAAAATAAAAAACATCCCAATACAAAATTTAAAATTTGTTAAAAGAATTACACAACTTTGGCCCAAAATTTAAAACATCCCAACTAAAACCTATAGACAATTAAAAATTAACATCTCAAAAGGGGGGGGGGTGTTACGCCAGCCCTGCTTGGTGGAAAAGAAAAGTTTTTAAGGCACGGCGAAAAGCCCGGAGATCTGGTATCATTGCGTATCTCCGGGGGCAAATCGTTCCAGAGGGCAGGTGCTGCCACAGAGAAGGCCCTCCCCCTGGGGGTCGCCAGCCAACACTGCCTCACTGAGGGCACCCTGAGGAGTCCCTCTCTGTGGGAGCGTACTGGCCCCACAGAGCAAAATGTAATTAGAAGCCTCTTTAGCCAGGAGTAATTTTTCTTCATGGAAACTCAAAGGTTGCATTTACATGACATGTTGATCTTACTCCTGGAAGGAAGGCTTAATTTATGGATGGCACGTACGACTGGCACATGAGAAACCAGAGCCTAGAGTGGCCTTATAAAATGGAGCTGTTCCACTTGAGCTACCTCTAGATATTTTTTTATTATTATTACTATTTTCACAAATGCATCCACCCACAGTTCCATGGGAGTGGGAAGTCACTGGCAGAAACGGGCTGAGAGGGAATGGGCATCCCAGCTCTGATGCTCTGACCCATTTAGGATGAGACCGTAATTTTTTTTCTGGGACTGTGTTCAGAATAACTGGATTAGGGTCATATTAGGACAGCGCTAGTATGTCAACTGACCTAATTGCTCTTTATCTGAGATAACCAAACTCTGCCCTTGCTTTGTCAGCTTTTGACACAGTTTTTTGAGCAAAGATATTTCACAACAGTGTATTTGGGCGAGCCTTTAAGCCGGGAGTGCCCACCCAACCTTGGCCACTTGTGGACTTCAACTCCCAGAATTCCCCAGCCAGCCATGTTTGAAGTCCATAGGTCTGAAAGTGGCCATGATTGGACACCCCTGCTCTAAGACCAACCTGATTAACAAGATCACACATGTTATCCAATCCTTATTGCTCTTTAACCAAGTTCAGTTATTTATAGTGGGGCCTGCAGGTCATCTGAACCAGACCAGCCACCGTTTCCAGAATCGGAAATAAATCTTACTTTTCAGTGTCGCTTAGCAGACATTCAGAACTGACCGTTATTCTTAACTCAGTCTGTTTTTAATTTAATAATAGAAAACATGGGCCTAGTGAGCTGTGCAAAGAGAGGGTTAAAAGGAAGATTTAAGAGAGCCATCTGTTGAGTTCATGTTCTACATGAACTCAAAGTTCTTCTTGGGTCAGTATATCTGACCTTCTTACAGTTTCAAAATGAAATCTAGTCCAGAATCAGCCAGTGAATTATACTACTGCCTCTCTGAACCCTTCATCCTGCATAACTGCTTTTGAACTCTGCGAGCCCTCTCACAAATACGTTGATCAGGCTGTAAACAAAGCATGACAAAAGCAAAATACAAACCATTCGCAGGAATGTTGATCAGGCTGTGTAATGGGAGATTGTAGGAGCTCGGCGAGATGTCTTTGTGTTTTCACAAATCATCGTCTTACTTCAGATTTTCCTGTATTTTACTCTGTTAGTACTGTATGCAAATTACAGGGAGTCCTCGACTTTATGGCCACAACCGAGCCCAACATTCCTACAGAAGTGTCACGTTTGTTAAATGTGCGTTTCACCCTGTTTTGCAATCTTTCTTGCCACCGTTGTTAAGTGAATCACCGCGGTTGTTAAGTCAGTCACACAGTTGTTAAGCGAATCTGGCTTCTCCGTTGACTTTTTTGTGTCAGAAGGTCGCACAAGGGGATCACATGATCCCGGGACACTGCAGTCGTCATAAATATGCGTTGTAAGTCGAGGACCACCTGCACTTGGCTTCAGAACAGTGTATAGAATCTGGTTGTACTGTATGCGCGCCCATAGGTATGGCAGTATGCCCTTTCTTTCAATAGTTTAATCAAAACTTTCACCTCACAAATTCAGTCATTTTCTTGTACCCATTAACTAATTTTCACTGTGTCGTATGATATGATATAAGCAATTTTCCCTCATACCTAAAACAGTTTATCACTGTTTGTCTCCTTTGTAAACACAATCCTCTCCTACTTCATTGTCTTTCTGTGAGGCACTGGTATTGGGCTGAATTTAGAGCTTTTGTTGAACTTACAAAATCAAGCATTAGCAAATCTCCAATTTAGGCAATGTGGCAACGCAAAAAAAAAAAGTGTGTATACATAAGAATGTGTTTGACATTCTTAAGAGTCCCCGATCTTGTTTGTTAAGAGAGAATATAATTTATTTGAATTTGGTTTCAAGTATGTTGTGAAATTATGATTTCAAAACCATTTTTTATTGCTTAGCCTTTTGTGTCATCCTATCAGATGTTTGATTTTTTTCGGTTTTCTTTTGGTGGGTTAAGTGCTACTACATCAAGAATGGAAAATTCTCTGGTAATATCCTGAATTTAATTTAAGCTAAGGATTTGCCATTTAGATTTCATAATTTATTCAAAGAAACCCCGGCTGATCAACTTAACTGTAATTTTTTTTTCCTTTTCAAGCTGCATTGCTTCCAGGTCCTGTTCACCAACAATTTTTGATCGGACCAATCCAAATTAATTAGCTTTTTTTTTTTCTGATATAGCATTAGCTGTTCTTTCCTTTCCACTGAAATTGAATTTGCCAAGGCGATGTCAGTGGGTCACTGGGATTTTATTTATTTATTATTCATTTATGTAGCCAGCCACTTCACACACAGTGACTCCAGTTGGATGTATTCTCACTATCCTAAGTTAAATCTGAGTGTACCCACGTTTACTGTCACTGCTAGTGTCTCTGGGATTTGGGAATCCTTCAACGAAAAACGTTATTTGCAGTCTTCTGACTTGCTACCTTCTGAATATCCAAAAATGCTGCATTTCTTGCTTTGACATGGCTAAGGATGGCTTAGTGATTTCCACCTGAACATTTAACAGTCATTTTTGAGATGGTTAAGGAGTTGTCTCATGCCTTAGTGATTTTCCATCTGAATTCTTACAGTAATTTGTTGACAAGCTTTTTTTTTTTTTTAACCTTTGCTCTGTCCTGTCCATGAAGTGTTAATACCACTTTATAAAGCCTTGGTAAGGCCGCACTTGGAATATGGCATTCAGTTTTGGTCTCCACGATGTAAAAAAGATGTGGAGACTCTAGAAAGAGTGCAGAGGAGAGCAACAAAGATGATTAGGGGACTGGGGGCTAAAACATATGAAGAACGGTTGCAGGAACTGGGTATGTCTAGTTTAATGAAAAGAAGGACTAGGGGAAACATGATAGCAGTGTTCCAATATCTCAGGGGCTGCCACAAAGAAGAGGGAGTCAAGCTATTCTCCAAAGCACCTGAAAGCAGGACAAGAAGCAATGGGTGAAACCTAATCAAGGAGAGAAGCAACTTAGAACTAAGGAGAAATTTCCTGACAGTAAAAACAATTAATCAGTGGAACTACTTGCCTCCAGAAGTTGTGAATGCTCCAACACTGGAAGTTTTTAAGAAGATGTTGGATAACATTTGTCTGAAGTGGTGTAGGGTTTCCTGCCTAAGCAGGGGGTTGGACTAGAAGACCTCCAAGGTCCCTTCCAACTCTGTTATTCTATTCTATTCTGTAATTTGTGTGGTTCTGAACTTTTTCTGATTCACTTATATTGACCAGATCTTAGGAAGGGTTGCTAGTTCAAAATTAAGTGCTGACCTTCCAGGCAGCGTGTACAGATAGTCCTTGACTTACGGCCACAATTGAGACCAACATTTTTGTTGCAAAGCGAGACGCTTGTTAAGTGAGTTTTGCCCCATTTTACGACCTTTCTCGCCACAGTTGTTAAGTGAATCATAGCTGTTGTTAAATTAGTAACACAGTTGTTAAGTGAATCTGGCTTCCCCATGGACTTTGGCTTGTCAGAAGGTCGCAAAGGGGATCACATGACCCTGGGCAGTGGAACTGTCATAAATACGAGTCAGTTGCCAAGCACCTGAATTTTGATCACAGGGTCATGGGGATGCTACAAACTGTATAAAACAGTTGTAAGTCACATTTTACAGTGCTGTTGTAACTTTGAATGATCACTAAACTAACTGTTGTAAGTTGAGGACTATCTGTACTTGCTTGTAGCCTACTACCTTAACCATTAGGCCAAACTAAACTTAAATACTTAGTTACTTAGACGCTTACATGTGAAAACCAACCATAAGAATACTCCTATATTGTTGATATCAACATTATCTTTAACGCATTGTTTGATAAGGCTATATTTCTAAGGAGTAAATTTAATGATAAACAGAAATAGCTATTGCATTATTTTGTTAAGAAAACAATCTTAATAATGACTTGATCCATTCAACTGAATGGGAAAGTGATGATGTGCCCATTAAGAAATTAGGTTCTTGAAAAGCCTTGCATAATATCGCTTAAGAAATATTGTAAATGGAGTAAAATGCAAAGACAAAAATGATTTTGTTTTTAATTTTTCATATATTTTTATGTTTTTCAGGTAAAGTTTGGAAACACTACATTTAAGACAGATGTCTATCCCAAATCTCTCAATCCTCAGTGGAACTCAGAGTGGTTTAAATTTGAGGTAAATAGACGAGGGCATACACAAGCACACATCCGAATAAATAGAATTTATTGATAGGCTCAAAGGCAAAATTATTATGAGTCTGGCAAACTCAACAGTGTGCGTATGTGTGGGTGAAATTACTATGGTATTTTAGATATGTGAAAAACACTCCATTTCTGGTGCTCTTTTTTCTGGACCAAATATGCACACTTTCGAAGTGGCTAAGAAAAAATATGAAAAGAAAGAGACTGGAAAGATGGAGCAGGTAGGCTGGTTGGATAATGTCCTTGACTTCAAGAGGGCCCTCTCCTCCTCCTCCTCCTCCTCCTCCTCCCTCTTCTGCACTTGAAGTCAAGTGAGGATGAGGATTTGACAGTGGTTAAGTGTCTCTGGAGAGTCTCAGTCATCCAGGTCATGGTTGTCCCAAAGATTCTTTTTCAAAAGTCAGCTGGACTTTCTTAGGTTTTCCTTGAAGACATTTCGTTTCTCATCCAAGAAGCTTCTTCAGTTCTGACTGACAGCTCAGTTCTGGCAGTTCTGATCATCGGAACTGAAGAAGCTTCTTGGATGAGAAGCAAAACGTCTTCAAAGAAAAACAAAGGAAGTCCGGTTGCCTTTTGAGAAAGCATCTTTGGGACAGTGGCCAAGGTGAAGTAGATGCCTCTGATGTCATTGGCTTTCAGACTTCCCATTTACAGTTTGCCTTCTTCCCACCTTCCCTCCCCTTAGTTGGCACCATAATGGGAGGTAGAGAGAGTGAAAAACATTGAAAATTCAGTGGACAGGACATCACACAGAGATCAGAGATCGAGAAGAACCAGATGCTGTGTGGTTTGGTTTTTACCAGATTACACTTTGCCTGGAACGATTGGGCAAAATCTCTGTATTCATTTGGGATGTGAAACAAAACCAATTTATGTTATGTTGTTCATGCGTACCTCTAAATGTTTCATATCTTAATTTACCTGCCATATTTGGAAATATCACAGAGTTTGGTAAAGAAAAACGTTTTGGAGATGGATGGAAGGTTAAAGAAAAATACATTGTGAAGGAAAAGAAACAGGATGTGGAGGAATATAAACGAGTGGAAATTTGTATTCATAAAAGGTTAACTTTTCATCTTTGAAAATCCTACCCAGATGCTTTTTGTAGAAATTGTTATCTGGTGGAAAAACTGGGCATGAGATAGAGTAGTTTGCAATGATTTGGTTCAGCAATGAGCCTGCCCATTGGGGAGGACTAGTCTTGCTCCCATATCTCAGAGGAGCAAAAGGTTATAGGAAGATTAATTTAGAGTTAGTGTGAAGAAGCCTCAGGATTAATCATATCCTTCCCCTAAACCTCCAGGTTTACTGGCATGATTGTAAGAAGTGATCAGATGCATTTACTTCTGTTTTCAGCTTGCCAATAGCTTTTAGAGCTTGGAACAACCTTCTTTAAAAGCTCCTATTTTGTATTGCCAACTAGGCTGGGCAACATCAATTTAATGCAGAATCAGTAGGGATTTCAAGAATATTCCAGTTCTAGATTTCAGTTGCTTCTGATAGAAAGATCCTGTTTGAACTGAACATCAACCCGTCGTTTAAGTACTCTGCTTAGGTCAAAGCTGGGTTTTAAGTGCAAGAAAATAGTTTGCATTAGAATTTATGCATGACCTTGTGACGTGGGACCATTCGAACATGACTAAACACCAACATGACTAATCACCCTCTGGTTTCATGCAGTTAAACTGCGCATTGTATGAGTAAGCCGAAAGCAGAGTTGGATGTTACTTGTTTAGACAAATTACCGTGCTTTTCGGAGTATAGACACACTTTTTTTCCTCTCTAAAAGGGTGGAAATGTCGGTGTGTCTTATAGACCGATTACGGCCATTTTTGGCCTTCCGAAACACCCCCCCTCCGTCCTGTTTTTGCCAAAAACAGACCCATTTTTTGCAAAAATGGGATGTGCAGAGGGTTTGGGATGCCTGCAGAGTGCTCCTGGGGCCCAGGGAGGGCAAAAATGGGATTTGTGGGGGGTTCGGGAGGTCAGAAACGGGCCCGTTTTTCACATTAACGGGACGCACAGAGGATTTGGGAAGCCTGCAGAGTGCTCCTGGGGGCCGGGGAGGGCAAAAACCAGATGCGCGGAGGCCAAAAACTATTTTTTTTTCTTGTTTTTCTCTTTGAAAACTTGGTGCATCTTACACTCCGGTGCGTCTTATAATCCGAAAAATACGGTATAAATGGAACTCGGCATCCTTTTTACTTCACAGTGACTCTGTTTGGTAAAATGTTGAAGCTTTGTTATATTTCTTCTGTTTTCTAGGTGGATGATGAAGATCTGCAAGATGAGCCTCTACAGATAACTGTCCTCGATCATGATACTTACAGTGCTAATGATGCTATTGGAAAAGTTTACATTGATATCGATCCTCTGCTCTACAGTGAAGCAGCTACAGTTATTTCGGGCTGGTTTCCAATTTACGACACCATACATGGTGAGATTTTCAATCGTTATAAAATACAGGTAGTCCTTGGTTTACAACCCTAATGGAGTCTGCCCATTGTGGTCGTAAGGCGTGAAGGTCTTAAAGCAGGTCATTTGATTTTAGGACTTTTTTCCCGGTGTTTCTAAGTGAATCGCCATACGGTTGTTAAGTGGATCTGCAGTCATTAAGGCAATGCCTCGGTTGTTAAATGAACCGATTGCTTACCACAAGGTGTTTTTGCTAAAAAAGAGAAATAAATGCTGGCTTTCTACAAAAACATGGTAAATTGCAATCACATGACTGTGAGACACCACAAACAAGCATAAATGCAGTCCAGTTGCCAAGCACCCAAAATGTAAACACGTAACTAGAGGGGACAGCAGTCGGAATTCAGTATCGGGTTGTAATTACCATTTGGGGATCCATCATAACTTCAAACAGTTGTTAAATGACCGATCATAAATCAAGGACTACCTGTATTTTTATTAGACAAAACTTGCATAAGCATTATTGGCATAATTGGAAATGGCAGTGGGGAAGGGAGAGAAATATTTGTATAGTCCTTTGTATTAAAAAAAAGACATTTTCCTTTAGTTCTTTTTCTACCTCCTGCAGGTATTGTTACTTTTAAATCTTGATCTTTTCTAAAGAGATTTTATGCATAATTGTCCTGCATGTTTCTTTTGTAAAGACATCAATAATCTTAGCAGGAAAAATCTGATCGTGTGAATGAGAATTCAGACCAAAAACTGATTTCTGTTCATTCTTGGATTCTTAAGGTTCAAACTGTATTCTTTAAAAGGCCTCTTTGTTTTTCCAAAGACTTGCTTTTAAGAGTATATTTATGGGTGCATCGTGTGTCAATTTTTCCATGTAGTATCAGATGTAAGTTACGGTATGAGCTCAAATCCTTTCCAGGATTTGCAGGACAGAACATAGGGTCATTAAAGATGTTGTCTCCCAGCCAGCTTCCTAATGGACCTATTGACTCCTTCTTATGTTTCATGAATCTGGTTCAAACACTGGGCAGTAAACACAATAAAAGAAGGAGGTTTAAATGACATTACGGTTAAGTCACAGTGTTGGAGAGTTCTCCTGTAGTTATAACAAAGTTCTTGCTGTACTCTCAGTTTTTCACTTAATACCGTATTTCTCGGACTATAAGACGCACCGGAGTATAAGACGCACCTAGATTTCGAAGAGGAAAACAAGAAAAAAAAATAGTTTTTGGCCTCCGCGCATCCGGTTTTTGCCCTCCCCAGCCCCCTGGAGCACACAGCAGGCCTCCCAAACCCTCTGCACCAGGGGTGAAATCTAAAAATTTTCACTACCAGTTCTGTGGGCATGGCTTAATTAGTGGGCGTGGCTTGGTCAGGTGACTGGGTGGGCGTGGCTTGTTGGTCAGGTGGGTGTGGCCAAGTCGACGTCACTTCTTTGCCCTTTTTTAACCTACAAAACACAACACAACACAACTGGCTCACCCACAATGTAAAAGCAGCTGTGCTAGACTCAAAATGGCCCCTGCAACAAGCAGGAACCTCACACAGCCACAAAAAGCCCAAAAAACCAACTTTCACACTTTGCACACACAAAATTCCACATACAGCTTTGTGAGATTTTGCGTGTTTGTGTAGTTAGAGTGAAACACTACAGAAACACACAAAATCTCAGAAAGCTGCACAAATATTACTTTATTTTTATTTTTATTTTTATATAAAAGCTAAATTTAAAACTTCCTAAACTTTAAATGGCTAGGTCTAAAAAAAGAACAACTAAAAAAAACCCCAATTAACTATTTTTTTTAAAGCTCCCAAAGGGGAAAAAAACTTACAGGCAGGCAGGCAGGCAGGCAGGCAGATAGAGCTGCTCACCGATGACCTTGATTGCAGGCAGGGAGATTCAGTTGTTTGCTGATGCAATGGATTGCAGGGATTACAGCAAGCGAAGCAAGGCAGGCATGCGAAGGTAATCAAGCTGGAGGCTGGGGGGGAAGGGATTTTTACTACCGGTTCTCCGAACTGTCCGCCGCCATTGCTACCTACTCGCCCGAGCCGGTCCGAACTGGGAGCATTTCACCCCTGCTCTGGACATCCCGTTTTTGGCAAAAACGGGATGCACGGGGGGTTTCAGGAAGCCAAAGATAGGACTGTATTCCGTCTATTAGATGCACCGACATTTCCACCCACTTTTGAGGGGGGGGGGAACTGGGTCTTATAGTCCGAAAAATATGATATATATTTCCTACATAATTTGTTTCCAAAAAGCTTTAATGCACCAAATGTTCAGCGTTGTTTGTCTGTTTAGTAAATTTATAGGCCACTCATCTCATTATTAAGCACCTCTGTGTAGCTTACAATGTCATAAAATAACAGCGTAAAACAATTTGAACATTGAAAACGTTAAGCATTAAAAGTTAAAACTGCAAAATTACAACAAACTGGAGAAAAAGGACCAAAACATAAATGGAGTGGAGATGGGATCTTCTAACCATATTCAGAATGGGAGGTCCCCATCTGTGTCACAAGCCCAGAGACAAGTTTTCAGGTCCTTTTGGTAGGCCAAGAGGATGGAGAGTGCTTTGTGGCCTTCTCTGAGCGGTTTACAATCTCAACCTATTGCCGCCAATAATCTGGGTCTTCGTTTTACCGACCTCAGAAGGATGGAAGGCTGAGTCAACCTTGAACCGGTCAGAATTGAACTCCAGGCTGTGGGCAGAGTTAGCTTGCGATTCTAACCGCTGTGTCACCATGGCAATAGGTTTGTTTAATGACTGCCATGTTCACTTAACAACCACTACAAACAGGGTCATAAAATCAGTTTAGTTACATAGATTACCTGCTTTACAACTCTCATAATGGTCACACTCCATTATGGTCGTAAGGTGAGGACTACCTGTATTACATTTTTAGTAACTTATTTTCCCTTTGAAATCGTATCTGTGTTAGGGTTTAGAATGATAAGGCTTCAATCAGGTAACTTGGATAGTCAGTTTTTATGTTCTGACGTAAATTCTCATCCTGTTGCTTTTATTTTCACATCCAGGTATACGTGGGGAGATCAATGTGATGGTGAAAGTAGACCTCTTTAATGATTTAAACCGTTTTAGACAATCGTCATGTGGAGTAAAATTTTTCTGCAGTAAGTCGAAAAACACTTTTTTTTTTTTGTATATGAAAAATGAAAGAACCAGTGAACCAATTCAGACTATTTAAGATGAACAGTCTTTAGGTTTCTTTGGATGTTCCCAACCAGATTTCTCTGTTGCAGCATCTAATGCATTCTTTGATAATTCTTATTAGTGCACAATAGCTGCCAGAATTGACTGGTTATTGCAGGGTTTCTCTGTCTTGGCAATTTTAAAATGTGTGGACTTCAACTCCCAGAATTCCCCAGCTGGCTTTAGCTTATTGGGTCCTCTCTCTTTTGTTACTACTGTCTTTGATCGTAGTGAGATTACTTTTGATTCAACTTTTGTTCTCATTCTGAGATCATCTTCTAATACTCTACCTCAGAGGTGTCAAACTGGCAGCCCATGGACCGGATGAGTCACGCACAGGCCACGCCCACCCCAGCTCCTCAAATGGAAAAAAACGATACGTCACGTGACGGCAATGTGACGCAGCGAGTTTGACACCCGTGCTCTACCTCAATTGCCTTCTCTTCCAAGCATCCTGTTTGGCAGAGGTGCACAACTTCGCAACAATGCAACATAAACTTTTCCGTTTAATATATTTATTTATCATTGTGAATATATATTTATTGGGAATGTGGGGCTCCCTTGAATCAAAATTGCAACATCTCCATAAATTATTTTCACTGATTAAATATAAGTCATACTATATCTTCAACAGCTACGTCTATTCCGAAGTGTTATAAAGCCGTAATTATTCATGGATTTGTAGAAGAACTTGTAGTTAATGAAGATCCAGAATATCAATGGATAGACCGAATCCGTACACCAAGAGCATCAAATGAAGCCAGGCAAAGACTTATTTCATTAATGTCAGGTGATTTTAATTTTTTTTTTAAAAAATGGGGTACAAGTAAGAACTGTTTTGCGTTATTGTGAATTTTAATGACTTGTTTGTATTATTTCGTTTATACCTTGTAACTAACTGGTACTACTGTATCCTAAAAAGAAAGATACCATATTTTGTTGGCATACTGCATATTGTAATAGGCATAATGGATGCTGTAAAGGCAGTGAAATTGCTTTTACATTTCTAGCTAAGAACCTGCCCACAGAAAAATTACCCAAACAAGTAATTAATAGGTAAGCATTTTACCTGTTAACATATAACTTAATCCAACAATAATTTACAAACAGATGGTGGTGATTTCGAGTCTGATCTGAAACTGTAGTTAAAGTTATAAAGCAGCCACGTAATCTCTGGCATGTTGGAATTTCAAAGGTCCCTTTGTATTGTTGAACTATGTAAATGTACATTTTAGGATGATAAATTTAGGCGCTGAATGTGTGAACAACTGAGCTGAGCCATTAAATTTATGGATTCCTTTCCATCCAATTGGAAGCTAATCCAGTCCGTAGTTCTAAGATAGGAATCATTGAGTTGCCTGAGTCTACAGGTTTGTTTATTTTAAAAAAAATTGTCCTGGAATTATAGATGGCTAACCATGAGCTTGAATCTTAGCAAAAAAAAAAAAATTTTAAGTAAGAATTGGAAAACAAATGCATGTATCTGAACACCCAGAACTAGTGCACAAATGAAAAACACGAAAATGCTGCAAAATAAATTGCATTCAGTTAAAGTTATGTCTACAAAAGCACATGCATAAAGGAAAAAAAGGGGGGGAAATAATATTTTCACAGAGGAGAGCTGGGCGTATTTAAGGTGACAAATAGGTGCTTTAAAAAATGCCTCTGGAGAGCAGTGAGAATATTCCTGAAATTAGGTGCTTTCCGCTTGGAAAAAACCCTTGTGTGTGAGTATCCTGGAGGAGACTTACTCAAGGCAAAGGAGGGAAAAATAAAGAAAGATTTGCCAAAATTCCTAGCCTGAAGTTACCTTGAAACCGTATATGACAAAAATAGAAGCTTGAATCTGGCTTAATAATTACCAGCCATGCAGTGGCTCCATCACTGGTAAAATATGTACAGTACAGTATATGGCTGCTGCCCCATTTTGCAGCTTGGCCACTGCATTTTGCAGCTGCTGCAGTTTCCAAGCTGAAGGAACTTCTTTTTTATTTTTATTATCTTTTGTATTTGTCAAGCATGTATAAGGTAACAGATATAAGTATAAACATGATTATGAATACAGGAAATGGGTCAACTTTTGACCTTTGGAAATGTAGCAAGCAAATCCTATTTTTATAATTCGTTAGAAAAGTGTGCTGAAATTGTTTTTAATTTCCTAAGAATCATAGAGTTGGGAGAGTCTGTCCAGTAGAGTTGATCTAAATCCTGGGCAGGGAACTATGGTCCTTTTATGACTTGTGGCCTTCCGGAATTCTGGGAGTTGAAGTCCACAAGTCATAAAGGGGTCATAGATCGAGAAATTGCACAGCAAGTGTCCAAATGAGGCGAGACATTGATATGAACTTGTAGTTTTATACAAACAAATATATTTAACATTCATATTTGCAGCAGACAAGATAGTCAAGACTATCATGAGGTAAATCAGCACACAGAGCACACAAGAAAAAGACGGGGAAAAAGGGAAACCCACAGCAGCCAATCATAGCACAGATTGCTTTTTGCATAAGTCAGCACTCTCCAACCCATCATGAATGTGTGTTGTATACTTTGCTTTTCCAGCTATTAAATTTAATATCCTAAGACCATAGTTCCCCACCTCTAAACCAAACCAATCTCCTGCTCAGTGCAGGATTTTTCTCTTGTAATGTTGTACTACTAACTGGAGCAGACAAAACATTTGCTAGACCAATTCTTGAATACAGCTCATCTGTCTGGAACTGCATATCGGACATAAATACAATCAAGAGAGAATCCAGAGATATTTTACGAGAAGAATCCTCCATTCCTTTACCCGCAATAAAATATCTTATGCCACCAGACTCCAAATTTTGGGCTTAGACAACTTAGAACTACGCCGACTTCAGTCTGACCTAAGCATAGTACATACAATTATCTGCCACAATGTCCTTCCTGTCAATGACTACTTCAGCTTCAACCACAACAATACACGAGCAAATAATAGATACAAACTCAAGGTAAACCATTCCAAACTCGATTGCAGAAAATATGACTTCAGTAACAGAGTGGTCAATGCCTGGAATGCACTACTTGACTCTGTGGTTTCTTCCCCAAACCCCCAAAACTTTAACCTTAAACTGTCTACTGTTGACCTCACCCCATTCCTAAGAGGTCTGTAAGAGGCGTGCATAAGTGCACCAGTGTCTACCGTCCCTGTCCTAATATTCCTTTTTACTTACTCTTTTCATGTATTCAAATTATGTTTATGCTTTTACCTGTTATATATGCTTGACAAATAAACTTATGATTATGATTTGCTAAAGTGTTTTGGTGGGATGGCAGATGGCTTCTCCAGTCTCTGAATGTCTCCAGTGAATAGTAAATGTCACTTCATTGATTGAGACTCTTTATCTTCAGCGAATTTCTTTTGGTATCTTAAATTTTATTTTATTTTACTTTACTTTATTTTTTAATTTTTTTAAAAAAAAATAATTTTTAATTTTTTTTATTTTTTTTATCCTGTCTTCATTACTTTATAAGTAACTCAAGGCATGGGACATACATAAAACTCTTTTCTGCTCCTATTTTCCCCACAACAACAACCCTGTGAGATGGGTTGAACTGAGAGAAAGTCACCCAACCAGTTTTCATGCCTAAGGCGGGACTAGAATTCACAGTCTCCTGGTGATTGGCCCAAAGTCACCCAGCCAGTTTTCATGCCTAAGGCGGGACTAGAATTCACAGTCTCCTGGTGATTGGCCCAAAGTCACCCAGCCAGTTTTCATGCCTAAGGCGGGACTAGAATTCACAGTCTCCTGGTGATTGGCCCAAAGTCACCCAGCCAGTTTTCATGCCTAAGGCGGGACTAGAATTCACAGTCTCCTGGTGATTGGCCCAAAGTCGCCCAGCCAGCTTCCATGTCTAAGACAAGACTAGAATTCCCAGGCTCCTGGTGATTGGCCCAAAGTCACCCAGCCAGTTTTCATGCCTAAGGCGGGACTAGAATTCACAGTCTCCTGGTGATTGGCCCAAAGTCGCCCAGCCAGCTTCCATGTCTAAGGCAAGACTAGCACTCCCAGTCTCCTGGTGACTGGCCCAAAGTCACCCAGCCAGTTTTCATGTCTAAGGTGGGACTAAAATTTACAGTCTCCTGGATTTTAGGCCAGTGCCTTAACCACTATACTAAACTGGCCTAACTTCTGGTACAAGTTAGTGCAATATTGCGGTAAAATTGAAATTCATTTTATCAGCGTTCAAAATCATTGTACATTAATGTTGCATTAAATAATGTGTGGTTTTTTTGACAGGGGAACTGCAAAGGAAGATTGGCCTGAAGGTACTTGAAATGAGAGGAAATGCAGTGGTTGGCTACTTGCAGTGTTTTGATCTGGAGGGAGAATCTGGCCTAGTAGTACGAGCCATTGGAACAGCCTGTACCTTGGACAAATTAAGTAACACACCTGTATTCTTACCTGCATGTAATTCCCCATCCAAGGAGATAAAGGAGTAAGTATGAATTAAATGTTCCCTGGAAAGTTTCTTTTGTGTGTTCTTTTCAAATTCATACTGTGTTGCATATTTTTTTTGCTCTGCTTTGATTCAATATACACACCCCTGTCTCCCTTTTATATTGACAACTTGTTTTGTGTTGAGAAACCTGAATAATTAAAGTGACCAGATGTTGTAGGAATAAAATGTGTGTCAGATGTCTCAGCTATGCATAATTCTTGTAGTGTTGCACAGCATGATGGCAATAACATTAACCTGTTCTACATTCCAGAGTGCTTTCTCTTCTTGGTGGGTGATTGAAATTAAATTGCTTCAGTGGGATGTTTGCATTTTGCAACGCATTTTGCAAAATAAAAACCCACAGGACCTCTGTTTTTAGTATTTTTAGTATTTTACTATGAATGCAATTGGTGTACATGGACTTAAGAAATGTCTTCAGTGTAATTCTAAGCTAGTAAGTCATAACTGAGTGCTATCAGGTTTTTACAACTGTCTGCAACACTTTCCTCTCTCTTACTTAGAACAAATTAAGTTTTGCTGCCCTTTCACTTAATTAGTAGGCAGTTGGCCAACTCTGAGTTCAGTAGCAGTTGATAGAGTTCAACTTTTAGAATGAGCCAGAGAAATAGAAATAACACTGGGCCAACTGAAAGTACTTTGTTTGGGAAAGCTAAGCGCCAATGAGAATATATTACTTTATGTCTTGCAATTATATAGCTCTTTTTATTGAAATCCAAACAGGAAAAATTGCTACAAAGCAACGTGAGATTATCTCAGTCGTGCTTACTGAAAATTTCAAAATTTCTCCACCATCTAGTCAGAGCTGAAGATGCTTCTTGGATGAGAAGTGAAATGTCTTCAAAGAAAAACCAGACACTCCAATTGCCTCTTGAAACAGCACCTTTGGGACATTTTAAATGTTACTTAAATTATACTATGACCTTGTTGCTTTTTATAGTAGCACAAATCTTTTCAATGAAATTAATGCAATTGATTTCAATTTGCATTCTTAGACATTTACATTGATCAGAAATAAAATTAAGTTGGCCCAGTTCATTTCTTTAAATTTAGATTTCAAAGATTATTGGCAAAGATTAAACCTTTAGAAGAATGATAATTGCATGGTAACCGAGTAATGCTTAGCTGGGGGTTTTTTCCCCCTCTCAATTCTTTAGAGTAGGGGTATAAAACTCAAAAAATCAGCCAACTAGGGCGCTGTATTCCTCTGTGTAGATTCTGGAAACTTTATCTGTATAACTTCTATTTTAAAAAATCAGTTAGGCTGCCCTTCGTTAAATATCAGTCTCTCAAATTCCTCTTCTTGATGTAAAGCATTGAGAAGGAAGAGGAGGGTCATGTGTGATTATCTAATGTCTTTCTTCACCTTTTCCATATTATGATCATTAACTAATTGCATGCTTAAGTGTTAAGCTAACTAAATTGGCAAGCTGGAGCCATTGTATCAGTGGATTGAATTTTTAGGAAGCTTCCCAATTTCCCATTCACCCCCTGATTTAAATTGGTGGAATTTGGTCGAACCCTGGTGGCGTAGTGGTTAGAATGCAGTATTGCAGGCTAACTGTCCACAGCCTGGAATTCAATCCTGACGGGGCTCAAGGTTGATTCAGCCTTCCATCCTTCCAAGGTTGGTAAAATGAGGACCCAAATTGTTGGGGGCAATAGACTGACTCTGTAAACTGCTTATAGAGGGCTATAAAGCATACTAGGAAGCAGTATACAAGTCTAAATGCTCTTGCTCTTAAATCTATGGGCCACATTGGGAATCCACGTAGACCTTACATTTGGCACCCCTGCTTCAGAGTTTGCTGTTCACAAACAAGCAAACTGCAACCTTCCAGTAACTAGAATACCCTAGAATATATTTTTTTTTAAATGTAACTTTGCCATTTTTTTTTTTTGTATGTATTTTTTTTCCTTTTCCTTCGATCTCGGCTGCAAATTCTCTCAGGTCTCTGCTGGCTCATCCGCCCAACCATGGATGTCGTTCGACTCACAACAGTCCAATTCACACTGCTACTGGCTCACGGCTTACTCAGAACTTCTCTGTGTCTGTTCCCACTCTCATCTACACTGGTACGCGACTGCTCAGATTCAGAAGCTGGGGAGAGACAGGCGGCAGGCACAATGACAGGCAGGCAGGCAGTGTAGGCAGGTACCTATATCCCTTAGAGTTCTTCTTCTCCAAATAAGTCCTTTGCATTCACCTGCTAAGTCAGAGGAAACAGGAGACCTCAAGGATATCTTCCGATCTCTTTTTTTTGCTTTATTGTGTGCATACCTGTTTTCTTTTTTCCTCTCCCCCGCCCCCTTTGCAATAATAACATTTGCATCTCAGGTGTCTCTCTCATAGTAGGGAGAGAAATGTACATTTTGATCAGGCTTCAGGCTTGATCATGATGTTCTCAAAAAGGGTTCTGTGCAGGATGTCTTAAACTGGACCGACAGGTAAGACCTTGCTACCGGTAGCAGCGCTTGTGAGTACCAACATCTGGGTATGATTCTCCTCTTTCCGCTTTGTTTTTAGCTGTGGCAACCTGCAAATGCTAACGGATAAGGAAACTTTTTCTTTTTTTTTTTGGAAATATATATGCGTCTTTATATATATATAAATATATAACATACCTGTCTGTGTGTATGTCAAGGCACAGATATATAACCTGCAACCATCGCTTTGTTTTCTTTTGTTAAGAATCTGGTTCAAAAAAAAAAACATACTGCATTCGTGCAGCCATGGTTTTTGATGGGTTTTATGTTCCTGTTTACTTTCCTGCTTTTCGATGCTTTTATGCTTTAGCTGTGGTTTTTAATTTGCTGGTTAGTAATGCCCATCTGCCTCCACGAAGTTGTGCGGTGAACAACTTTTCCCAATGCCTGTAGGCATCGTAATCTAGCTTCCCACCTTAAGTGAACCATTGGCCCTGTGCCCCTCCCCCTCCCTGTCCACATCCTGATTTTGGGATCATCAGCCCGGTCCTTTGACGTAGGATCACTGAATCTGTTTCCACCTTCTTCTGGCAGGATTCCTTTCAATGAAGATCCCAACCCCAATCCTCATTCATCAGGACCCTCCACCCCTCTGAAAAACCAAATCTATTCCTTTTCACCTTCCAAGTCCTACAGTCGACAGTCCTCTTCTTCTGACACAGATTTGAGTTTGACACCCAAAACTGGTAAGGTGCTTCCACCCACGTTATTTTAATTTGTTTGTGATTTGTTTTGCTGAATTTGTGTTGTTTCTATTTTAGCTTTTCACTCACGGCCTTTCTCTGTTTTGGGCATGATAGTACCTATTTGCATAAATCTTTGAATTGTTTATTGAATTATGTGGCATCTGAGCATCTTCTGCAAACTGACATATAACCACTACCCTAAGATTATCCTAAAGAATTGTCTTTTCATTTCCTCCACATCATATTGCAAATTATGGGAATTAAAAGTAACCATGATATGTTTGGGAGATAGTCTACCATATATTACTGAATATGTACAAATAGGTATAACAAATTAAAACTTTTCTTGTATCTGCACATCTTTGTGAGCAACTGAATAAGGGCTGGTTGACTGTCTTCGGGGCTGCTTTGAAGACAGCAATAAGGTATCCTTCATGTTGCAACAATCTTCGATGTTAACTTTTTACCATTGTCAAAACGTAACTTAAGATATGACAAACCCAGTGATTTTACAGACAGGTAGCCCTCGACTTATGACTGGCCACTATTATTTATTTATTTATTTATTTATTTATTTATTTATTTATTTATTTATTTATTATTCGAATTTCTATACCGCCCTTCTCCTTTCGGACTGAGGGCGGTGAACAGCCAAAATAAAAAAACATTTATACATAAGTACGATTAAAAATAGATTTAAAATAATTAAATTTGGCCCATAGTTTAAAATTTATCAATTTAAAATCCATATCAAAATTTAAAACCAGCCATAAAATCATAAAATCAAGAGAGACCGGCTAACTGAAAGAGATGAGTTTTTAGGGCCCGACGATTTGAGCCCAAAATTTCCATTGCTAAGCAAGATAGTGGTTAAGTGAGTTTTGCCCCATTTTACAACCTTTCTTGCCACCATTGTTAAGTGAATCACTACAGTTGATAAGTTAGTAACATGATTGTTAAGTGACTTTGACTTCTCCATTGGCTTCGCTTGATGGAAGGTTGCAGAAGGTAATCACTTGACCCCCGGACACTGTGACCATCTTAAATGCCGGTTGCCAAGCATTTGAATTTTGATCACATGATCAAAGTTACTTTTTTCAGTGCTGTCACCAAGCAAATGATTGTAAATTGAGGACTACCTGTATATATGGAGTGTATGCATACTGGAAACAGCGAGGAGCAGAATAACATTACTTTCATGTGACTGCTTTACTCTGCCTACAAACACAGTGATTCTTGTGCTATTAGCCAGACTTGCCTTGAATGGCCTGGAGAGTTAATAAAAAGCCACAATAAACTATTGTTTCTAATTTATAACCACAACTCTGAAATGAGAAGCAAAGTGGCTGTGAGAATAGGCCTGATGAAATAGTAAGGTTTGTTTAATAGTTCATCTTGTTAGGCTGGGATTTAGTTAATTGAATGTAAATCTCCCATTCCCTGCACATATTTCTGTTTGTACTCTAAATCAGGGGGTCACCAACCTTTTGGACCTCAGGGACCACTAAATTCATAATTTTAAATCCCGCGGACCACTAATATGAATTAGTGATGGGACGGGGTCCTTTAGGCACTTAGCTTGGCTGCCTGGGGTCAACCCTAGCTTTGCTGTCCATTGCAACTAGGAATCTCAAATACAACCAAGCATGAACGTTTGTCTTGTAGCCAGCCCGGATGCTAGATCGCTCCCCCTGCAAACTTTGTCTCTCAAGGAGTCCGGCTGAAGTTTCGTGCACCGCTCACTGAAGCAACTGAACTCCCAAGGAGGGAGGGAGGGGCTGGAGCTACTAAACAGGCAGTCAAGCTAAATGCCTGAAGGACCCCATCCCATCAGCGAGTGAGATTAATTGCTTTGGCAGGCCGTATCCAGCCCAGGGACCATAGTTTGAGGATCCCTGATTTAGGGCAATATAAAAAAATGCAAAAATGCAAAGATTTTTCTGCGGACCACCAGAATTTTCTCACGGACCACCAGTGGTCCACGGGCCACCAGTTGGTGACCGCTGCTCTAAATGACAAATATGGCTTCACACATATATAATACTGAAATATCACGGCTTTAACAGAATTTAAGTCAACTCAACTCGTAATCTGCACACTTCTCGGTGGGCAAACCCCCCCCCCCCATACTTTTGTTTTCTTAAAATAGGAAGGATAACACAGGTAGTCCTCGACTTAAACCACAATTGGGATCAGAACACTGGCTAGTATGATCGAGTTTATTGAATCCATAGCTCTGAAAATAATTCCATGAGCCCAAAGACAACTTTAGACAGGAGACTCTTTCATATTCAAGGTTGACTCAGCCTTCCATCCTTCCAAGGTGGGTAAAATGAGGACCCAGATTGTTGGGGGCAATATGCTGACTCCGTAAACCGCTAGAGAGGGCTGTAAAGCACTGTGAAGGGGTATATAAGTCTAAGTGCTATTGCTAAGTGGAAAGGAAAGAAGGAAGGAAGGTAGGTATGGTGGCGCAGTTAGAATGCAGTATTGCAAGCTAACTCTGCCTACTGCCAGGAGTTTGATGCTGACCGGCTCAAAGTCGACTCAGCCTTCCATCCTTCCGAGGTGGGTAAGATGAGGACCCAGATTATTGGGGGTAATAGGCTGACTCGGTAAACCGCTTAGAGAGGGCTGTAAAAGCACTGTAAAGCGGTATATAAATCTAAGTGCTATTGCTATATTGCATCGTTAAATTAAAAGGGAATTTGAAATTATCTCAAGTTCTATTTTCAAATACTTCCTGTCATTTCTTTTACAAACTAAAAGATAGGAAATGCCAAAGCTCTGTAAATTATGTCTAGTATAGAACATAGAATAATAGGGTTGTAATGAACCTTGGAGATCTTCTATTCCAACCCTCTGTGCAAGCAGGAGACCCCCCATACCATTCCAAAGAAATCGCTGTCCAATCTCTTCTTAAAAGCCTCCAGTGATGGAACACCCATAACATCTGGAGGGAAGTTGTTCCACTGATTCATTGTTCTAGCTGTCAGGGATTTTCTCCTTAGTTTTAGGTTGCTTCTCTCTTTAATGGTCTTTCACCCATTATTATACCCATTGTTCTGCCCTCAGGTGCTTTAAAATAAGTCAGATTCACTGCTAATTATAATGCGTACAATAGATGGGAAATTTAGCTGTAGAGGTGTTATATGAAGTTTTTGAGTTATGGAAGTTCGGAGTCTTAAAACCAGGGTGGATTTGATTTAAATCGCGTTGATTTAAATCACAATTTAAATCATGATTTAAATCACAATTTAAATCATGATTTAAATCACTAGTAAAAAGGATTGATTTAAATCAACTCGATTTAAATCATAATTTTTAAAGAGCAACCGTCATCTCTGCTACTCCGTTGACCCACTGTTGACTCACCGATAGTCCCAGTGTTGCAGAATATACAGCCACATGCTACATAACTAAGCTCCATTTCATGCTGAATAAACTAAATTATTTATGTATCTTAAATAGAAAACTATCTTACGATAGATTTTTACCCCAAAAGTTTTTTATTAAAATAAATTCGATAAAAATCAAAAAAATCCGATTTAAATAAAAAAATCTGATTTTTTTGATTTTTTTTAAAAAAATCATTGATTTTTATCCACCTTGCTTAAAACCGAGAATTATTATTATTATTTATTGAATTTATATACCGCCCTACTCCCAAAGGACTCAGGGCGGTGGACAGCCAAGAGATAAAACACACATATTACAAATGTTAAAAATCAGTTAAAAATACATTAAATGCTTTGGCCCACAAACAAATTTAAAACACCCCAATTTATAAGACAAATTTAAAACAATTTAAAGGGAGGTTAGGCCAGACCAGCCTGCTGGTATAAGAATGTTTTGAGGGCACGGCGGAAAGTGCGCAAATCCAGGATCCTCCGTATCTCCGGTGGGGAGCTCGTTCCAGATGGCAGGTGCACCCACAGAGAAGGCTCTCCCCCTGGAAGCCGCCAGTCGACATTGTGCTTTCCTTACTAAATTAACAATCTAATACAGAGATTGACTATTTTCTGAATGAGGATTTTGGTGCTTACCCAGAAAGTATATAATGTGGAGGAAACTGAAAAGAAGGAAACACAGTTATTTATTTGTTTGTTTGTTTGTTTTATTTTATTTAAAAATCAGAATGCAAAGTATCTTTTAAAAATTGAAGGCTTTCTAAGCAAGCTGCTCCCATTTCTGTCAGAAAGTGCAAAATCGTTCCGAAAAGGTGAATTTTATTTGTTTTATCAAATTTCCGCACCATTCATCTCACCTCTGTAATTTATGTGCTTTTTTTTTTTTTAAACACTCACAAAAAATGGGTATTCATCTCCTGTAAAAACCCATTCAGTTTGGAATAAGCTGCAATTGAAAAAAAATAAAAATAAAAGCACATTTTCCTGGCTTTAAAATAGAGCAATAATTGATGAAGGTTTCGTGTTGGGTGTGCCCGTTCATCGTGTTGCATTTGTCATCCTGTGAATTGTAAATCCATAATGGTTCATAATGTTGCTCGCTGTCTGGTTTGTTTGTTTGTTTTCTTACAAACCTGATTTTGCTTAATTCATTTTGCTTTTTCTTTCTTTTCTTCTTGGTTTCTTTTTTTGTCATTTTCTGAACTCTACCATCTCTTTACTGCTTTTCTCCACAGCACTTCCCCTATGGGGACCCAAGATTTTCCTGCTTCCCAGTTCCCCACCACTTACATCTTCTTGTTCCCCACCACTTACAAGGCCCTGTCTTCTCTGCTCAGGGTCTAGCTCTAACTCTCTTCACTCTAGCCCTGTGAACCCAATTCTCAGGAAAAGTATTTCTTTCACTGAAGAGCTACTTCTGGCTGCTTCGGGTAGGATTACTCTTCAATCGCCTTGCTGGTTTGGGTAGTGGCACCAAGCACAGTGTGAAAGCTTCTTATGATTTCCCCTCCCCCCTAGACCCATTTAAAATCCCAAAACTGCTGGCTACATGACGTTGATATAATTATTTTTCTGGGATTGGTTTTCCTTTCCCTTCCTTTCCCCCACCCGTTATGTCGTTTTATCACGACTGTTTTTTAAAATCATTTTTATCATGCTTTTTTAATCAGACTTTTCTCCCTCCCAAAACTTTTATGAGATAGATAATTGGCCTTTTTTAAAAAAAAAATAATAATTGTGGTACAGGCAGTCCTTGACTTACGACACTGCGAAGCCCAAAATTTCTGTGGCTAAGCAAAGACGGTTGAATGAGTTTTGCCCCATTTTACAATCTTTCTTGCCACGGTTGTTAAATGAATCACTGCAGTTGTGAAGTTAGTAACACGGTTGTTAAATCAGTCTGGCTTCCCCGTTGAATTTGTTGGTGAGAAGGTCACAAATGGTGATCACATGACCCTGCGACATGTGACATACATGTCCAGGATATGTGAAGTAAATGTGACCCCCCCCCAAAAACGTAAATATGAACCAGTTGCCAAGCATCCAAATTTTGATCACGTGACCATGGGGATGCTGCAGCGGTCGTAAGTGTGAAAAGTGTCCATAAGTCACTTTCTTGAATGCCATTGTCACTTCGAATGGACACTAAACGAATGGTTGTAAGTCGAGGACTACCTGTATAGCCATCCATTTCTGGCCATGTTTCAATGCTCCTCTGTTTCGATTGGGAGGAACATTTCTTCTTTTTCTTCTTTGTCTTCTCCAAGTCATTCATATTACTCTGTTGACCATCATGTGGCCATCAGTCCTGCTTTGTTTTTGTTTTTTTGTTTTTTGTTTTGTACCTGCAATTTAAATGCCCTTCTAAATGTTCACGGTATAAATGTCAGTTTTGCCTGTCCTTTCACAAGGCTGTTTCAACTAATGTAAACTCGGTTGATGCTGTGGAGCAGTACAGTTTGAGTTGTTCTCTTTCTGGGTGAAGTATGTTTCATTTCTACAAACAGCCTTCATTCCATTTCTGTCTCCGCTCTTAGTATCGTATAGTCCCTTGTCAGACAGATTTGACTGCAAAAAGAAAAAAGAAAAATTAGATTGACTGCATCATGCAGGATGGGACTATATAGATGCTAATGTTTGTTTCCTTATCCAAAAACAGCTAAAAATGGAGGTTTTAATAGGACAGGAATGAACAGTGATCTGTAAATTTAATCATGCAATGGGATCTATTTCTATTGCTGCCATTTGCAAAGATGGCAAGTGTGTGCAAAACATCAGCTGTAATATCAGGGGTTGGTACAAAATGAACATTTCGATTCAAATGAGCAGGAAACCTTAAAGTCTCTGAAATTAGATGAATTGTTAATTTTGTCAGTTTATCCTTTATCGTTAGACCAGGTAGGCCTCCGTAATTCCATCAATAGTGTTTAGTTGCAGGAATATGGCCACTTATATGTATTTCAGATACTTATGGTAGCCATAATGTTCTGGATTATAAGCATCCAGGTACTTTTGTCCAAGTCTTATTTTACTGAGGCTTGCCCTGAACAGTTTGGAGAGAATTGAATTGTGAAATAAGTCATTTTAAGAAGGCTAAGCACAATTGTTTGGCATTGCTATTCTAGGCAGCATTAAGCCACTATGTCCCCATAAAACATGTAAATGTCTTGAATGATAGAGCAGATTTCGTTAAGAACCTATCAAGTAATCGTAGATGGACCTTATAAATTAGTGTCCATTTATGTTCCCACTGTGCTTGTCCATATTCTTCCTTTTTTCACATAAGCTGCAGGGTGAATAGTTTAACATAACGTCCAATCTTGGAGTTTTTATTGTTTCTATCCAGAGAAACGAGGATTTTTATCCCAACCCCTTCAAAAAAAGGAAAAGTTTAAAATCAGGTTTAATTCTAGTTTGTGTAATAAGCATATTAAATTGTACCCCATGGACTTAACCAACATACTAAGGCATCCCCCTATTAATTAGTTTGCTGATGGTTTGTTAAGAGAAATTAGACTTCTCTATTAGTTGTAAATATGGATCTTGGATCTGATCAGTAGTCCATTCAGCTCACTATTATTAAGGGTTATTATTACTGGGAGTTTGGTGTTTATGACAATTGGGGATACCAAAGACTGATACTGGAAACTTTGAATTTAAATTATATCTTTATGACTTAAATACAGCCTTTCCTGAATAAACTTAATGGAATTACTCCTGTAAACATTGATGTGAAATGCCTCATCATTTCAGCCTTGAAAATACATTATTTTCCTTTATTCTTTTAGCTCTATATGATCATACCCTTTTTCTGATAACTGTGTGGGCTTGTTAAATCAGCAAAGAATTCCAAATTTTAGTCCCTTTTTATGTCAAAATATCTATATGGTTGTTCACATAATCATGTGAAAATCTTTGTATCTCAGACTACAGTGTGATAATGTTATCTTTAAACACTCTGAAATATTTAACTTTTGAATTCTGTTTGGATTTTTTAAAAGTTCAAATTGGACTGAGGGGTGTAATCTTTAGCCAATGGCTTACTAAAGTTTTCATCTAGCATGATCACGTTTACTAGTTTTTGCACATAAATCATAGGCAACATGCACGCTAATTATAATTAAAAATTATAGCCTGTTAAATGAAGCCGAAGCTTATTTTTTTCCCTACTAAATACATCTTTTCATAAATTAATTGATATACTACTCTGGCTTTTTGACCATGTCATGTTAGACTTTCACAGGGTTGTCTACATTTGCTAGTAATCAAAAATGTGCCACATTTTTAATATAACTTTGATGTAATATCTATTAACTATGTGATTTCACTTTGACTTACGTGCTAATGTTCTTTAGGAATGGGAAGTGGTAGTGCTGGAAAAGAAGGGGGGCCTTTAAAAGCTCTGTTAAGACAACAAACTCAATCAGCTCTGGAGCAAAGGGTAAGAAATTCATTCAATCCTGTTATATATTTGATGTATACCAGCACAGTTCATGTCTAATGCCATTGAGCTCAAATAGGATTAACTTCTTGGCAAATCTGTGTAGGATTTCAGCCCAGAACTATCACTTTAGAAACATTCCTGTATTTTTCTACTGCTGTGTAGGAAAAATGTATTTGAATGTTTCCTTTATTATTAAGTAATTATCTTTCTGCTGCAATTGTGAATTATATAAGCTGTCACCATGTATTTGGACAGAGGGATGAAATACATATCCCTATAAAGAAGAGATTTACATCATGGAAGATTTTCATAAAGCTCATAAGGTTTTCATTGGTCTTTTTGCTGATGACATAAAGGTGTGTAATCGAGTTGACACTCCTGGGGTTATTCGTAACATGGAAGATGATTTGGCATCGGTGGAAAATTGGTAAAAAAAATATGTGGAAACTGCAGTTCAACGTTTCTTAATGTAAGATGGTGCATTTGGGGAAAAGGAATCTTCTGGAAGGGTACAATACTGGAGGTACAGCGTTAGACAAAACAGCAGAAGAAAAGGATTTAAGGTGTGCTCATAGCAGATGACTGCAAAAGAGTAAAGTGTGACCAGGCAGTTGTGGAGGCAAACGAAATTCTGGGATGCATCACTAGAGGGACCACCAGCAAGAAAAAGAAGGACCTAATCCCACTGTATAGGACTTTAGTCAAGCCCTATATGGAGCGCGGTGGCTCAAATGATTAGGACTCTGGGTTGCAGGTTTGAGACCCGAGTGCTGTTGCGTGGCGGGATGAACTTCCGCCACTCACTCCAGCTTCTTGGTGGGAGACATGAAAGGAGCTCCCACAGGTGTAACCCGAACAATGGTGATGTCACCGGCTTAATCCTTTCAACCCAGAAGCGCCTTAAAGGGTGCTTCTGACATGAACCAGACAGGGCCAGAGCCCATTTGGAATACTGTGCCCAGTTCTGGAGACCTTACTAAAAAAAAAAAGATATTAAAATTGAGTGAGTCCAGAGACGGACCGTAAAAGTGGTGGAAGGTCTGATGGACAAAACAGGAGAGATTGGAGGAAAAATTAACAATAAAAACAAAAAAAAAAAAAAAACCCTCAAAGGGCAGACTCTATGGACCCCTAGGTCTTTTTCTGCTGTTACGTTTCCTAAGTTTCTATAAACTTGAATGCAAATACATATGCATCCTTTTCTCATCAACCTTTTTCATGTTTCTATTTCAATCAGCTGAGCTTAAACAAAAAAAGCAATAGCTCACCAGAGAAAAGCTACCTTCCTCATGTCCTACCCGCACACTTTAATTCTGTATCTTAAATATTTACGAGAGGCTATTTAATTCTGATTATTAGAGCTGAAAACCACATTGTGAATAAGGATCCCACATTCACTGGGCGAATTTCAAATCATTTATAGCAGTAAAATTTTACTTCAGTGAATGAAGGGGGCTATGCCAAAAATTACATGTTTGTATGTCACGTCCCATTAAAATGGATTAATTCAAAATGAATAGCAGTAGCTTTGTATCAGTGGATAATTTTCTCCCCATTTTTGTGTTACCTATTGCTAAGGGAGGATCGCCTCATAAATTCTGTAGAAGGCGGGTATGTTCCAATTACTGTGTGACGCTTCACCTCTCTCTCTTTGTGTTCATATTTATTTTGAGACTTTTTTTTTCTACCTTGGACCTTTTATTTGAGGAATTTGGAGCCGGTTATTATAAATTCCACATTCCTTATGGAATTGTTCCTAGGCAGAAAATTTTCGAGAAAGCTTTCCGGAGCTTTTAAACAGTCCAGTTGCTCCTTTGACTTCTGCATGAATATACATTTCATGTAACTTAACATTTTTCATTGATTTGATTTTGTAATATTTAATTTGAAAGCTAACAAAGGGGGAAAAAAAGTTTTGACTTTGCTGCTTATCCTAATAATTTAGATCTTTTGTGGATAATGGGTTTAGTCTTTCGGTTGATATGCAGTAAATGTTTTCATTCTTTACAAATGTTGACTTTGCAGTCTGAGTACTTAAATGTACATTGTTTATAAGTCACAATCATACAACTTTATAAGAGATCTTTAAACGATTTTGCCTTTAAAATGACATATTAAAAGCTTTTTCACAAATAACATGCATAGAGAATATGCATGATGCATGTTCAGATTAGCTTCATATTGGAAATATGATTTTTTTATTTGCTTCTGCTTTCCCCCCTATCAAATCAAGTCCTTTTTTTGGCATTTATAGTGAAACTTGTCCAATAGTGACTCTGTGGTCCTCCATGGGAAATATAATAGTATAATAGTTATCCTGAAATATAACATTATTTAATCTGTGTATCCTAATGAAACACCACAGGTGGAAGTAGGAATTTGTAAACTTTACTATTCTTCATAAGCATAATTTGTACACTGCAATAGAGTTTTAGAAAATGCTTTTTTCAATAGGGTGAAAAACTGGAATATGTTGAATTAAGATATTAAAGCACAGAACTAATTCATTTGATGCTTTTCATCAGGTATATTCTTCACATAAAAACATTTTTAATCTTCTCAGGTCTAATAAGATTTTGTGAAAATAGGTCATGGATTTGCATATTAGTTATTCTATGTAAATAGAAATAAATTCAGCAGGGTCAGGGCAGCATAGCCAGTTTGGCGGTTGGTATTTATTTATTTATTTATTTTATTTTATTTTATTATATTTCTATACCGCCCTTCTCCTGCGGGACTCAGGGCGGTGTACAGCCAGGATAAAACATAGCATATAAAATTTAAAAACATTTTAAAAAATAATTAAATAATTTTGGCCCGAATTTAAAACAACCCAATTAAAACCGATATTCGATTAAAAAACTGAGAGGACGGGATCAAGCCAGTCCAGCTAGATGGAACAAGTGTGTCTTCAGGGCCCGACGAAAAGTCCGGAGGTCTGATATTGTGCGTATCTCAGTGGGCAGGTCATTCCAGAGGGCAGGTGCTGCCACAGAGAAGGCTCTCCCCCTGGGGGTCGCCAGCCGGCACTGCCTGGCCGATGGCACCCTGAGGAGGCCCTCTCTGTGCGAGCGAACCGGTCGGTGGGAGGCTATTGGCGGCAGAAGGCGGTCTCGCAAATACCCCGGCCCTAAGCCATGGAGCGCTTTAAAGGTGGTTACCAACACCTTGAAGCGCACCCGGAAGACCACAGGAAGCCAGTGCAGCTCGGGCAGGAGAGGTGTTATATGTGAGCGGCCCGTCTCTCCCATAATCCCCCGCGCAGCTGCATTCTGGACCAACTGCAGCCTCTGGGTGCACCCCAAGGGGAGCCCCATTTACCTAAAATGATCCCCGAATTAAAAGACGCAGATGTCAAATTCAAGATAGTCTATGTTTATCCAGTGCAAATACAGTGAAATCTTGCTTAAACAGAACCTCAGTTATTCACTAATATCTCTTAAATACAAAAATAAATCGTCTTAGTAATTTTCCATTTGCATATTAATTACATCTTGCAAATGACATTATGTAAAACTTCTATATAAATCTGGTCTTCTCTTGCAAGCAGTCCATTATATCAAGATCTGGAAAACAGAAAATTTCACTGTAAATGCAAAACAATTACCAGGTCTCCTTGTTACTTCAGTTATTTTCTGTAGTGCAGCCTAACGCTACTCCCTTTTTATGATCCTGCAATACCTTAATTCAGAGTAGAGTCTGGGTGACTGGATGGAGCTGAGCATTTACTGGCTGGATGCCCTTCCTGACACCACACACAATTCTCAGCAGATATTTTTTCTTTGTGCCCTAGGAGAGAAACATCTGCCACTACCTAGAATTGAACTCTCAACCTTCCCAGTGGGAGGCGAGTGTTTTCATCACTAGGCCACCATGCTGCTCGCAGTTTTCCTAATACCGTCAGAGATTTTTCATTAACCCAGCAATAGCCATTGCCAGAATGAGATGCTTGTTCCTCTTCTTCGAAACATTATCCAGTGGATTTTAAAATGAAATTCCTCTAGCTGTGTTTCATATTAAAACTTCTATCCAATCACATATTTCCAGTTGTTACATATTTTCCTTTTACCTTGTCTCTAAGATGCAAGTATTTCTGAATCAAGGTTAAGTGGCTGTTATGCTTCCTAGATCCCGTGAGAGGCACTACTTAACTAACAAGATCTGTGCCTGCCCTGAATGGACAGAAGCTGTCCCTCTAGTAGCCAGGTCCTATGCCATAAAGAGCTTTATGGGTGATAAGAATTGCATCCAGTAGTCAACTGGCAGTCAGCGCAGCTCACAAAGCAGTGGGGTCATATATATGTTCCACAAAATACCCATCACTGCCTATGCAGATGTGGACCAGTCGTAGCTTCTGAGTGGTCTTCCAGGACAGCTCCAAGTAGAATTGTGTTACAATAGTCCAATCGAGAGGTGACACAGGCATGAGTGGCTGTTCAAAGGACCTTCTAGTCCAGGAAAGGCGTCACTGGCACACTTCGATGTACCTGTATACAAAGGCTTGAAGCAGGAGCTGTGAATTCAGTGAGACCCCCATGTCAACATGCACCCCATTAAAGAATAAAGGTGGAGTATCACAGAAAAGGGGGATGGGGGGTGTCAAGCAAAGATTGAGTTTAAGCCTGTTCCTCCCCATCTAGACCTGCACATCTGGAGCTGATCTTCAACAGCATCTCTTAGTCAGCCCAGGTATAATTGGGGATCATTAGCATATTGACGATATTCGACTCCAAACTGATGGATGATCTCCCCTAGTGGATTCATGTGAATGTGGAAACAGGAGAGAGAATTGAATCCTGAGGCACTAACAGATTATAGGTGTGACATGTCCAGATTGAAACTTGACCCAAAGTAGAGAGCCTTCCACTTCGAATCCCTAAAGCTACCTAAGAGAATGCAGCAGTTGGTGATATTGAAAACTGCCAAGAGATGAAGGAGCATTAGGATGATTGTACCACCCCTATCCTGGCTCCACCACAGATGATCAACGAGCAACACCAGTCCGGTCTCCATCACTGCATACTGGCCTGAAAATCTGACAGAAAGTGGTCTAGCTAATCCAGTCCTTTCAGAGTCCTTTAGAGTTGAAGCCTAGAGTTGAAGTGTTAGATTTCAACAGCCATGTTGTATGAATCCTTATTTAAAAATAAATTGTTACAGTGATTTTCTCCCAAGATAGCTCTTCAGACAAGACACTGTAATTTAACACCAGCTGTCTGCAATTAAAGTAAGTTCGAATCTTGCCAGGCTCAAGGTTGACTCAGCCTTCCATCCTTTCTAAGGTAGGTAAATTGAGGACCCAGTTTATGGGGGCAATAAGCTGACTTTGTATAAAATATACAAAAGTATGAAGGCTATTGCTTAACGCACTGTAAGCCGCCCTGAGTCTCCAGAGAAGGGCGGCATATAAATCAAATTAAAAAAAAAAATTAAGTATACACAGCATTATAATTTATAATAATAAGAAGCAGCAGTAAATGAAATTAGTACCTAAAATTTCGAAATAAAAACAGATGGGATTATATTCTACAACTGGACAGCTCTTTAAAATGTGTTTCCCTTTTAAGGCACTCGCCATTAAAAAAAAAATCTGACTCCCAGCTTTCTCTGGTGTCACAGTGTATGGTTAACAATTTTGTCTAATAGCAGGATTACGCGGGGGGAAAGTAGTATTTTATTGGCCTTTGAGATGTCTGCTGCCCCAAGCAAACTGGATGGCATACATTTTGCTTGCTTAATGCATAATGTAAACCAGGGAGAGGCAACATCATTACCATGGACACCAGTGTACACACAGGGACCTCCTTTTATATCTACGCGATCTCGTTTTTTTTTAAGAGTAACATGCTACAATGCCAGCTTTTAGCGTTGGCATCATTTGCACATGGAACCCCCAGAGGCATTTCTAGAAAGTAAAAATGGGGTGCGTGCGTGTGTGGCTACAGCACAGTGTTTCGTTAGATGACATGAACATCTCCTGAGTGGTAGAATGCACCTGGGGGGGTGGGAAGGGAATCAATTTATCTTTGGGGAGTGAGTATCTGTGACCATGCAGCAATGCTGCAAAAGAGTCCGTGGGACTTTCCCAAAACTCTTACCTGTGTCTGTTGACTTGACGAGGTTGCCAACTCCTGGTATATATTTGAAGACAGCCCTTTCCCAGTTGTTTTCTTTCATTTGTATTTCATGAAATCCATGCATGTTGAGTTGATGAGCAGTAGGATCAGTTCGTGAGGTCAACGGCTATTTTGTTCTTCTGATTGGCACAGGAATTTCCTTTTTTTACTTTGACGGCGTTTCCTCCGGGCTTCCTTCTCCACGTCGGTGGGGTCGTCAGCGCCCGCTCTGTGAAACTCTTGGATCGTATCCACAATCCAGGTACGTTATAAGCCTAAATCTACTTACATTTCATCCTGACCTTTGTTTCTTTGTGCTTATGTTTATTATTTTTTGCTGGAGGTAAGAACTTGGAAAATGTTGAATGGTTAAGCATACAGGGTGTTTAGCAAACATTTCAGACAGCTTCCTTGTAATGCTTTTTTGTGTGTGTGTGTGTGTGCCATTGAGCTATATGACTCATACGATACCACTCTAGAATTAATTGCTTTCATTTTGTTTCCAGATTCTGAAATTAAAATGCCCAGTAAGACATTGAATAAAGAAGAGCAAACTTACTAAGTCTTCTGTACTCTCTCTCTTTTTAAGTCTTTATAAGTTTTGGCACCGAAGAATGCCAACTGACATGAGTGATGATGATTTAGATAAGGTTCTAAAAATTACATAAAATGTCTTTAAAAGATCCGTTTAACCCAACCAGAAGTACATTTTGGAAGTAGAAAATGACTTCCTCTAACTCAGAGGTCTTCAAACTTGGCAGCTTTAAAACTTGGACTTCAGCACCCAGAATTCTCCAGCCAGCTATGTTTGAAGACCTCTGCTCTAACTAGTAAGGAAATTATTACAAAATGTCAGTGGAGATTCTCAATCGTCCAGGTCATAGTTGTCCCAAAGGTACTTTTCGAAAAGGCAACTGGACTTTCTTGTATTTTTTTTCCTCTTAAAAATCGTTTCACTTCTCATGCAAGAGAAGTTTCTTCTTTCAAGGAATAATCCAAAAGAAGTCTAATTGCTTTTTGGAAAAGCACCTTTAGGTTTGCTAAAGATGGTTGATTCCTAGTGTCCAATCTGTTCTACTAGGGCTAGAAAATGCATGTCAAACAAAAGTCTTCCTTTTCATTTTCTTTGTGATTATAACAATTTTTTCCCAGTCTAGTATGTTTTCCCATGGAACAGAATGTGCTTTGTTCTTGGTGGAGTTTTATTGACTCAGGATTAGTCTGGGAATTAGTGCAGGAACTTCTAGAAAAGTTATTTTTATATTATTTAGATTTGTCCCCTTAAAAAAAACATTCTACCTTCTTTGCCGAGCATGGATTTAAAGCAGTGGTCTCCAAACATGGCAGCTTCAAGACTTATGGGCTTCAACTCCCAGAATTCCCCAGCCAACCAGGAGCTCAAGCAATAATGTGACTCTGGCACAGAGACATTTTTCCTTAGATAGCATTAAAGCCTGTATCCAGATTTGCTTATTTTGTTGGATCTTTTAGCCAATTAGAGCAGCCTAAATGGTAGACACATTGAAGAATTTTTTTTTAAAAAAAAAGATCTCTAGTCTTTGATCAAAACGAGTTAGTCTAAATGGAATATATCTTTGAGCAATAACTAGAAGCAGTAAATGTGAATGCTGCCAAACTAATTATGAGCACAAAACCCCCAAAATAATGTTCTATTTGTAGGTTTTTATCCTGTAGTTACTGGTCCAGGGTCTATAGGAGACTGAGTTAGATTCTTGCCCTTCCCCTGCCTATCCAGTCTTTTTAATTAAATGGCCATATTTCTAAATAAATGAATAATTCTATTCATATAACAGGGTAAACACTATTGGTCCTTCTAGCCAATAAAAATAAACTGTGATAATTGACTAGGAAGGAAGTTAATTGGAATTGTTTGTCTTTTAGTTGTGGTACCACTGAACAAATAAATGTTTGATAGAAAACACATTTTTTTCTCCAAGAAGTTTTGAGAAATTTTTCTTAGGAATGTGCAAAGTTATCCAGATGATTCCTCGCAGTTATATTCCTATAATTCTCTCCGGTTCCCTTCCCAACTTCCTTTTGAGGAGATTCTGATGTGAATGGAAGCCTCCATTAGGAACAAAAACAGCCAGCAAATTTACCTGCAGGTTGTGTATTCTCCTTTAGGATATCTTTGACCATCTGAATTGAATGCTTCTCTGGTTACCTTGTCTGCTTTAGTGGTAGATTAAATTGAATGCAATGAATTTTTTAATAAAATGTCAGAAGAATTCTCTTTAGCAGAGGAATCTCTATCTTGGATAGCTAATATCAAGACCTTGACTGCAGCAACCATGTTGGTTATAACAGAATCTCCCTGGGACAATAAGCCAGCTAACATTTTCCCCCCCTAATAATCCTCTCCTTGTTAATCTTTGTGGCCATTGCTGTGCTGAATACCTTTTTACAAACTATAGCAATCAAAGTCAATATAGTTGCTGCTTAAAATCTTACAAGTGTCCATTTGTGGGGCAGAATGAAAAATGGTTTTATGATGTTACCTAGTTTGGATAACAAAACATCTGCAAGAAAATAACCAAGCTCAGAGAGCACCAAAGACATCTCGTTTCAACCCCGAGCTGCAAATATTCTCCTTTGTTGGTAAAATGGTTTTTTTTTCCCTTACCTGATACATCTCTGTTTTGACAAGAATCAAAAAGAGACGTTGGCCTATCCATTTTAATTGGATTTTTTTTTTTTTTTACTTAGATCAATTTTTAGTTCTCCTCTGCTTTCCCCCACCTCTCAGGTGAAAGTACCAAAAATTAAAACTTTCTTTCAGCCAAAGACATTTCTTACCTCCAGTTTCCCAAAGAAACTTTCTAACTTCCAAAATGCCTCTCTGTTCTTGCCAAGAATGGATGATTGCCAGATAAGACAAGATTGCCTCTGTCTGGTAGAGGTCTGACTGTTGTTTTTTGTACTGTTTATACCCTATTATCAAAAATAATGTTACTTTCAAAGAAGCAATGATGTGCATATGGTCACCATTGCTTTTGGCCTTGGCATGAACTTTCGGTGTCAGTATGCCTACTTTTGTGAATTTTGTGCTTGTAGACACAGGTCAACCTCCTAATATATAGTCAACTCTGTAAGATTTTTTTTTTTTTTAGATTTTTCTACAAATCTTATTTGTTTGTTTATTTAGGAATGGTTAGTAAGATAATACCATGAAGCATGATTCAAGGTTATGCTGATAAAATGTTAATATTTTTTGTATAGTGCTATATCTGTCAAGTCTTCTGCTTTAAAAGGGAGGGGGGGAAATCCTGTTATGAGCCACTTCTAGCACAAATAGGATAGACTTTAAAATGCATAAACTACTAGCAGTGCATGGAGAAACGTAACCCAAACTTTCAAAAGGTGGTATTAATATTTTTTTATTTGTTTTACTTATTGCCTACACTTAGATTAACACAGTATATTCCTTCTGTCTTTCTCTGTTTTCATTCTCTTATTAACTCTGCTGTCTGTGTCTTTCCAGTTCCTTTGGAGCAACCCTCTCAGTTGTGTTCTTGGTGTGTGTGTGTGTCTCTGTGTGTCTGTGTGTTGATGTATGTGTGTGTTCTTTTTCTTTCACTATATTCTGCTGCCATAACTGATCTACTTATTTGCTGTTTTGAACTCAGCCTTTGTCGGAATTATGGGTAACACAAGATCATACAAACTACTAGACTGGAATAGTTTCAATTCAGGTATTTTATTAGTCATTCAGTACTACATACACTGACAAAAATTATGGCAGCTCAGTGAAGTCTTTTTAGAAATATCTTAACTCATTGCCAAGCTAACGTTTCAAATTTTGTTCTTTTTAATTGTGAAAATTTAAAATAACTTTTATGATTAATATAGTAGGTTATATTATGAAATTAAATCCCATTGTTTCTTGCTAGACTGTATGTCCCTAATTATCCCTGTACATCAATATAATCTAATCATACACTAAATTCTTTCCTTTTGAGATTTAGTTTTTCCTGTACTAGAAGTAGGATCTTCTGTGTGAGGCTCAGTTATGGAGAAATGCCATTTGAAGATCACTTTTAGCTACATCTGTATTAGAAGCAAAATGACTTCTTGTTATTGAATAAGACATCTTATTCATGTTGCAATACTTTTTAGCTTATTTGTGGATTTTAGGTATATTTATTGTTTTAAAAGAGGGCCCTTCAGTGATCATCCAGCTGGATCCGCATTTACCTACATTACCACAGTACTGGCTAACTGAAGAATACAGCCAAAGCCACATTAATCAAGCTACAATATTGAAGTAGAAGTAGGTTATTGGATTAAAGATATTTTTTAAGTTGTGATTTATTTTTCTATTCAAGATCAAATCATTTAAATAATGCTGGCCAGTTCATAGTATGGATGAATATTCACAATGAATGACATTCCTCTTTGGAATCTTTAGATGGAGAGTTATCTTTTTTTAAATTGAGAAAAAAAGCTGATCAGAATGAATTGTAGTATACTTTTTCCACAAATGAATATTCAACTTGCTTTTGTTAATTAAGTTAGGGTGAATTTGCATTCATTTGCTTCATTGTAGGAGGTTTGAAAAGGAAACCCTATGTTGGAATCTCTTTTCTAGTTGTTCCTTTTAGTTCTACAATTATATATAATTTCAGTCAGTGAAAAAGCATGAGATATCATACCCATAAGGTTATGTTGGTACAAACATTTATTTAGCCATTGCATTTAAATCCCACCCTTTTCCCCAGTATAGTACTTTAATTCAAGGAAACAGGCACAGAAGTAGAAGTCTCCCAAGCTATTTGTGCTCTTATCTGTGAGTTAACAGCATAATTTCCTGTCCAAGAAGGGTGATTTGCAGAGTCTTATTGAATTCCCCAGTTATACTAAATTGATGATTGATAAATCTATCGCCTAATACATTCATTATTTCTGGCAAATTTTTGTCCATAAAAGCATTCAAAATAAATCAGGTTCTTGTGTTTAATCATTCTGTTGTTGTCTTTGCTTTTGCTCTGAATATTGATTTAAATTCTCAAGAAAGCTTCAAAACCATCCGCTGAAAAGGAGCTGAGATAAATTATTTATTTGTTGTTTGTGATATTCCTAGTATTTCTGTATCACCAAAATTACTGATCTCTGTGCAGCTTACAAATCAAATCACAAAAACCAATAAGAACCATAAGCATAATAAGTGGGGGGGAAAATCAGTAAAATTGAATATAGCCTACTATTGATTAAGCGGACGTGGTGGCTTAGTGGCTAAGATGTTGAGCTTGTCGATCAGAAAGGTCGGCAGTTCAGCGGTTCGAATCCCTAGCGCCGCATAACAGAATGAGCTCCCGTTACTTGCCCCACCTTCTGCCAACCTAGCAGTTCGAAAGCATGTAAAAATGCAAGTAGAAAAATAGGAACCACTTTTAGTGGGAAGGTAACAGTGTTTCGTGTGCCTTCGGCGTTTAGTCATGCCGGCCACATGACCACAGAGATGTCTTCGGACAGCACTGGCTCTTCGGCTTTGAAACGGAGATGAGCCCCCTAGAGTTAGGAACGACTAGCACATATGTGTGAGGGGAACCTTTACCTTTTTACCTTACTATTGATTGGATATTACAGTTATAGATCAGCCCGAACAAATTATGAATACAAATGCAATTCTGCGACACAAAACAAGTTAATAAAAAAAGTAACTAAAAGCGCGTAAAAGCATAACATAGAAATAAACATCAATTGAATCAATGACTACAGGGAGTCATTGATCTTAAAATTACAGATGTAGGTCATGCTGATTGTTATACAGGCCGTCACGTGACCAGCCTGATTTTACGACTTCTCTGTGGCGGTTGTTAAGCAGACCCATTGTCCACAATTGGCACTTTTTGCCAGAAACAAAGTAAATGTTGGCTTCTGGCAGAAAACATCGTAAATCACGGTCACATAACTACAGGATGCTGCAAACCATGGAAATGAGGGCCTGTTGCTAACCACCCAAAATGCAGTCACGTGACCATGGGTGGGGCGTCGTAACATCAGCCTTTGATATTAATGGCTCAGTGCAGCATCAAGTGTTTTAGAATATTAAATTAGTTAACTAATTTTTTTTTTTTTACCTCAGCAATTTCAGCAGAAGTAGATCAAGTTTTAGAATTGCTTACAGTGGCTTGCTTATTCCAGCTAATACTGGTAATGGTAAACCAGTGATATAATAACATTAAATAAACTGTTTCTGGATTCCTCGACTGTTGCTAGGATTAATAATTTCACAATAGAATAATTTATGCTTGGTTCTCATCTAGATGAACACTTGTAAAGTCTGGTTTATTAATCATTTCTTAACTTGGACCACATGACTGATGAGTATCAGATTACCAGATACCTTTTCATTTGATTACTCTTCAGAACTCAACAAGAGTTACAATTTGAAATGAGAAAAGCTTGATTAATATCAGCAATAATCAAACAGTTGTAGATTAAAATTGCCTAAAGAGCCCTGGTGGGACAGTGATTAGAATGCAGTATTTCAGGCTGACCCGGCCCACTGCCAGTATATGTGTTTTTTCCATTTATTTTCAATTCAGTTGATTGATTGATTGATTTTGTATAGAGACTGGTGTGTTTGTATTATGTGGTCTACAAAGGGGTACTGCTAAAAAAAACCCCGATGGCCTATATTACATTGGAAAATGCAGTGCTCTATGGTTATTTATGTTCTGGTTAACTTCAGTTCCTGCAGAAGTTCTACGACAATAGTTGTGTGAGCACACTTGCATTTGGGTTTGGTTCCTGAACCTCACAAATGGAGAATCTATAACCCCCTCAGATGTTATAGAACAATAACTCTTATGAATTTTTATGTATTCATTGGCCGTTGTTCTAGACCTTACTGGAAAGCTACAACTAATGATTGTGTGGAATAGCTACTGTAGGTTGGGCTTGCAACCAGTCACATGCCTAGTGCCTTAAGAATTTGGCATGTCGTATTTGGAATATTACACTTTTGATAAATTATTTCTGATTCTGAGGTCAGGGGTGTTAAACTTAATTTCATTGAGTGCCGCATCAGGGTTGTGTTTGACCTCGGAGGGCCAGGGGTGGGGGGGGCTGGGCGTAACCATGGTGGGCGTGACACGGGACTGCATCTCCACACGCATGGCTTTATACACTTATAAAAATAGAGAGGCGTACATTTCTGTGTTTTTGTTCTTTTAATACAGAGGAAGACTAGAAGTATAAATTATTGACATAGGCTACAGTAGCAGAATCCTGCAAGCCTGAAAGGTAAAATATTTTACCTTTCCTCCCTTTTATTTATTTATTTATTTTTTAAATTTGATTTATATGCCGCCCTTCTCCGGAGACTCAGGGCGGTTTACAATGTGCTCAGCAATAGCAATAGCCTTCATCCTTTTGTATATTTATACAAAGTCAGCTTATTGCCCCCACAACTTATAAAAGAACCTTTTATAAGCTTCTGAGTCAAGGACGGCCTCCTGGAGCACTCCGGAGGCCCTGTTTTGGGCCTGGAAGGCCTCCTGCAACAGTCTGGCAGCCAAAATTTTTGCTAGCAGTGGCATCATGGGCCTGTCTTTTGCTATTTATTTCCCAGCCGGCCACAGATATAAGCACCCCGCGGGCCAGTTTTGTCCCCTGGGCTTTCAGTTTGACACCCCTGCTCTAGGTAATTATAGGTATTATAGGTATAATTCATTCCCCTGCCCCACAGCTCATGGCAGACTGTCACTTTACAGCAGTGAAGCACAAGCAAGCATATAGTGGCAGCTGACACTTACATATATATATACATAGAAAAGTTTCACTTTAAACAAGAATGGGTCCCCTGCAGGGGTGAAATCCAGCAGGTTCTGACAGGTTCTGGAGAACTGGTAGCGGAAATTTTGAGCAGTTCAGAGAACCGGCAAATACCACCTCTGGCTGGCCCCAGAGTGGGGTGGGAATGGAGATTTTGCAATATCCTTCCCCTGAAGTTGGGTGGGAATGGAGATTTTGCAGTATCCTTTCCTTGCCACGTCCGCCATGCCACACCCACCAAGCCCACACACACAGAACCGGTAGTAAGAAATTTTGGATTTCACCACTGGTCCCCTGTATATTACATGTTATACAGGCAAGGCAAATATTGAAAACACGGATTTTAAGTAAGTAATCTTTGATATAAAAATACTAACCAGAAGCAGTTTCGATGTTTATAAATAACTTGATGGTAATCAGCAGTTGGCTACAATGGGAGGGCATTTAGAACCTAATATTGCTTTTATTGATTGCAGGTTTTTTTTTTGTGATTTGGTTTCCTATTTCTTTTCATAAGATGTTGTGCCCTTATTTTAGATAATAGGGCTGACATCCATATAAACATTAGTGTTTAGAGTTTTGTAGGAATTTACAATTATTTCTCAATATGACACAGCGATTGTGCTATACCTAAATTAAGATGAAATCATTAATGTTTTAATTAATGATATAATCACTGAAGTAATGAATTCTAAATTTATAATGATTGCAAATTGTGTGTTTATTTACTGACATTTTATTTTTCAACCACCGTTTCTTTTCTTCTTTTTTAATCAAGTCATTTCTGTTGTTCTTTAAATGTTTTAGAATAAATGAAATACTCTTCTAGCTAAGTTAGTTGCAGCTCTTCTCATGTCAAGGTATTGCTGCATAGGACATGTTGTCCTGTTGCAGAGTATGTCCTACTCCAGCC